CAAAGCTGCTGGCAGAAATTGGATAATATACAAAATCATCAATGCCGTTTGAAGTGAACTTGTCACCATTTAGAGAGATATAAACTCTCAAAGTCAGAACATTGCCTTTTTATTTTCTATAGGACCATAAGGTAGGAATATTGCCCTACATCACATGGCTAGAGTCGTTATCCTATTTCGAAAATTTACCAGAAGAACTCGTTTCGTGACGTAAGCCAAACTGACATCAAAAACGAAACCCCTTAACACACTTCTTCACATATTAAGTGAGTATTTAGAATATGTATGTCTAGTAAGCTTTTTATGAGTACTTCTAGAACTACTTTTCTGCCACCACCAATATAGGTTTCCACTCTTTCATAAACCTGTTGGAAGTTGGTAAATATTGTGGTTACCCACTAGAGGTTATTTCATTTGTCAACCTTCTAATTATGACGTAAAGTAACAATGCTTTATGACGTAATCTTCTAATTATGACGTAAAGTAACAATGCTTTATGACGTAATCTTCTAATTATGACGTAAAGTAACAATGCTTTATGATGTAATCTTCTAATTATGACGTAAAGTAACAATGCTTTATGACGTAATCTTCTAATTATGACGTAAAGTAACAATGCTTTATGACGTAATCTTCCAATTATGACATAAAGTAACAATGCTTTATGACGTAATCTTCTAACTATGACGTAAAGTAACAATGCTTTATGACGTAATCTTCTAATTATGACGTAAAGTATTAATGCTTTATGACGTAATCCTCTATTGTGATGTCATAGTTGATGGCAATTGTTTCTCTAATCGGAACTTCTAGATTGTGCAGGACTTCTAATATCTCTTCTCTCGTTAAACGTGTTTGAGGTTTGTTAGTTTGTGTCCTTTCCCGTCTCCTTTCCTGACTTTGCTCCTTTTACGTTCGTTCCTTGCTCTCTGTGGACGCCATTTCCGTTCGACTTGGCCTTCACCCTCACTCGTTACTCTTACTCATCTACGTTTATTTAATGATTCTCATTGATGTCGTTATCTACATTGTCTATGTGGTGAGAAGATTTTGCCTTCCTTTTAGCTTGTGCATAGTTTCGTTGTATCAGTTACAGACCATGTTACAAACCCATCCTTTTTCACAACCAGCTATGATGGTCATGTTGTAAATAAAGGTCCAGGAAAGCGACTGAAGTAGCAGAGTCTGTAGTGTCCTTGGTTTCAGGCACAGGAGGGTATATATGCGATTGACGTTGTCAATAAACCTATTATTGTTTTAAAGACATGTAACATTGAAAGACTTGTATGGTTTTTGTTCGTAGTCCTGATAAACTCATCACTGAATTTAGCCTGATATGAAACAAGTCGGTCCAAAGAAGGGCACAGGAAAAGGAATGCCTACAGAGTACTGGAAAATTCTGCCACCGAACTCAGTAAAAAATATTATCAACAAGGAATTCAATATTTCATTTAGGTAAGGGTACCCTCGTGATAGTAAGTAACAGGAAAAAGTTAATTTTGTGTCGTCATTTGACAGATTTTGTCTGTTGCTGTTCTTGGGTTTATCACAAGTCACATAATTGAATAATTCTTTTGTTTAATTAGCAAAGATATATTATAAGAATATATACCATTTGACGTATTTTGTTTTTACCAGTTTACAATAGCTCTGAACAGAGACGAAGAATGTATTGTCTCATATATGTTATCATATGTGTCAGATTTTATTTTGATTATGGTCGTCTTCTAGCTTTGAGGTAGAGGAAATTTCCCTTTAGCTCAGTGGTAGAGCGGTTTCGATCCCTGGGGGGAAAGCACACTTTTCTCTTTCCTGTTACAAGTGGTGTCCGTGGCCCTCTCTGTGGCGACAGGGAGTTAGAACCTGGGTTGTGGTGTTCGAGGGCGAACACATTTACAAAGGGGAGAGTAGTGTGGTCGATTTAATTTTTTCGAGCTAGAGGAAATTTCCTTTCGCTCAGTGTAGAGCGTCCGACTAGGAACCTAAGTATCGCGAGTTCGAACCCTGGTGAAAGCACACTATTCTCTTTCCTGATACAATAACATCACATTGTACAGAGATTGAACTGTTTTCGTTATTCAAGTGTTTAATGAATACCAACTGGTCCGAGGACTTTTTTCTCTCACGTATCATTGAGTTTGTCCGTTGTATTAAATGATTAGGATTTTAGAAGTCATCGACTCATGGGTGTCGTCAGTTCTTATTATCATGTAGAACCAAAACAAGCTATCATGTCAGTGCAAAGAGTGCTTGTTTAGTGTCAAAAACTGAATTGTCATCGACATTCCTAAGTAAACAACGGGTGCTACTTCAGTGGCAAAAGCCGAGATGTCATTGACAATTTTATGCAAAGTACTAACAATGTCACACTTTCAGATAACGGGCGTTTGTTCTGGCCCAGAGTACGAGTGGTTATTGGCAATCTTATATAAAGTAGTAGCAATGCTACTGTTTCATATAACGGGTGTTTGTTCTGGCCCAGAGTACGAATGGTTATTGGCAATCTTATATATAGTAGTAACAATGCTACTGTTTCATATAACGGGTGTCAGTCCCAGAAGACGAGATGCCATTGACAGTTCTATGTAAAACAACAGTAATGTATCTATTGCAGATAACGGTTGATTGTTCAGTACCTCGAATTGTTGTTGACAATTCTATGTAAAACAACAGCAATTTAATGTTACTATTTCAGATGTCAGACACCCTGGATATCACCCGTCAAGTTGTCGGACAGTCATTTGATACTCCTATGTAAAACTTGGATAGATCTTCTGAGGATGCAAAGAGTACCACATGTGTTCCTTTATCTAGTCGTCAACAGTCTAATTATCACCAATGACTCCATGTGTTACTGTGATAGATAAGGTAAGTAGTACTATTATTAGTCAGGATATTTACCTTTCATCTTTAAGCAAAAAATCAGATGTTATCGAGTATAATGTTGGCGCTGTAAGGAAGCACGTAGTTTTCACTAAATAGAGATATTGTAATTTATTTTAATGTACACCGACAGACTTCCGTAACTTTGTGTCATTTTGCCGTTTTGTTTTAAAATTACAAATAAACTTATGGTTTAATGTACAAAATACAAGTTGGTATAAAATCATACATAACAATATACACTATTTTGTTGAATTTGTTTTACCGAAAAATGGTAATGAATAAATGCTGCAAAAAACTACATACAGCAATGCAGTTACAGAAAGTTCATGAATTAAAGAAACTCCTTAATTGCTGTTTTTTTCCGTAGAAAAGTTTGATTGCAAGAAAGATTTTTTTTCAAAAGTTAGAGACATTCTATGTATCAATGCCCAAATATACATCAGCAATTGAAGTGGCGTTTCCTATCATAAAATAGTATTTTATGTTCCATTTGGCAGTATCGTTCATGACAGAATATCTACCGGTATGTCTAGATAGGTATTTCATTCAATTAATATACAGTGTAAAGCCAAATTCTGTTTTTTTTTACCCAAGTAAGTGTCCTTGTATAACTCTATTGTAAAATACGGAAACTTGCAAGGGTAAAGAACAATTATACCTAAATTTTAATAATTAAATGTCGGTTAAGAATACACTTAAAAGATCATTTACATAGCCAATATATGTATGATTGATTCATATATAAACAACTCCAGAAGATACTGCGATTTGGGTATGAAACAATTGTCATGGAATATTATAGATACATTCCAGTATGTTCAGTTCAATACTTTTAATAGGATATGATTAAGTTCGAGAGGTTTCGCAAAATAAGTAAGCCAGTAAAATATTTTTTTGTGACCCGGGAAAGGCAGATCTGGTCTAAATCCCTTGACTTTATAATTAGGAACCCCATTAAATGATGACGTCTCATAATTATTTTTCCTAAACAAATAATCTGATCGCTATTTCACATTTTTTTTGTATTTGAATGCGTTGTAGTAATATTAAAATCACGTTTGTGAGTTTGGATATGCTGAACTAGCATCTCAGTTTTCAAATTAACACTATCAAATATATCCATTGAAGACAAATTAAGTTTTAGGTTATAGATTAAACATATTTTTATTGCCATTAAATGCAATGGGATTACGTAAAATGTTACAAAACCTACCAGGGCCCTTTCCCTGTTTCGTGTCGTTTTTAAGAAATAAATCCAAGCGTTGGTGCATATCATTATAAGTACTGCTAATTTAGATAACGTTGAAATAAATTCCGTCTTTTGGTGTGAAACATCCCAAAACTTGAATGTAGACCGATCGTGATGTCTAATTCTTATGTTGATGGCCGGGCATAGTCTGGCCGCATATTTTTGGTAGAGCAGGGAGACATTTTAATAACATACTCCGTATATACAAGTGAAGAGATGAATACGTATGAAACAAACCTGGGCAAAGGAAACTAATATGATACAGAAAAAGTGCTTGGAAACAGAGGCGGTACCAAATACAGAATGGAATTTTGAAATATTTCAAATAATCTCTTTAATGAATTTCAAATATACTGTCCCTTTGTGTTGATTTCCTAGCCCTTTGAAACAAGTCAGCAATTAAGGATTCTTATGTTCAAGAAGTGTGTAACTGAAATATTTTAATACATATCCGAACCTTCGTTTTAGTGGTTATTTCAAGAAACATTCGGCTCTAGTTAGAAGTGTTAATGTTTGGTGTGGTGTGATGTTGTAATCACGTACATTTCTGATCAAACTGTCCACTTTCCCGCCTCTCCATTCCACACCCATTACGTTTGTTCCTTCCGATAGCAGCATGACCATCATGTTAAACAGTATGAGCTTTCATTTGACTCTAGGCATCTAAAAGAAATTTAGGGAGTCGTTTAATAGTTTCCTTGAAAAATTCAAAGTTGAAGCAAGCACATGACGTCAAATAGATTTGTTTTGTCAAGCCCAAGTGTGACAGCAACGTTTGAAAGCCAATAATGACCTCAAGGGTTTACTGAAGCCACGACAGTCATTTTGTGTCAGTGAACAAAATAATAACAAACAAGAATTTGATTTTTCTACAAAACATGTAATTCATTATAAAAGGTAGATTTTAGAGGACACCGACCCATGTATGAAGCATTACCGGTGTAAACACAAACATTCGACTAATACACAAATCACTCACACTCCGTCCGGAAACAAACGCAACACGTGACCTCAATGATGATGCTGCCCTCAGTACCACGTGACGTGCACGTGTGACCCCGACAGTGACGCTTCTTTACAGTTGTCACTGTTCATCTTGACCTTGTTATGATTTCGGACGTACCAGTGACACTATATAGCCGAGTTAAAGTAATCCGGGTCGCTGTGAAATCAGTAAACAGGTCGACAGCAAACGTCAATGAGGAGTGTAGCATAACATTATTTGGGACAAGCATACTAGTAGTACATTACAAACGGTGACGCATCCACACACAATCAATCTCAACTCATACCCTTATCACAGTGATAACAGTATGTCACGCTAGTAATGAGAAACAGAATATCAAACTTTGGTTGTTTACAACATTGGTAATACACACGACCTAAATCTAGCTTTTATTGTTCCTTCGTAAACACCCAATACAACACATCTTCATCGGAATTGTGACACTGATTTCAGTTGAATAAAAGCGTGACAAATTAGTATATTGTTTAAAATCTTAAATGAGACATACTAAGTAAAAAGCTACATTAAAATATAAATTAAATTAAATGTAAATACATACTTTTGAAACAAATACGATTGCCATTTATGCATGTAAAAGTAAAAAGCTATTACATAGAACTGATAATGAAACGTATATTGTAAAAAAATATAAACTAAAACTGAGAAATTGCATTTCTTTAAATAAATGAAATCGAGGCATTCGTACAGGGTTTCGATGATGATAAAAGGAGTGAAGGATAAGCCAATATTCTGTTACGTAACTGATGACCATTCAATGGAAAAGAAAGCCGATGGTGATGTGTATCACTATAAACAAAGGAAGGAAAATGACATAAAACCAAGGGAAACTGAATAGAGTAGCTGCCATGTTTTGCGACAATTTAACACCATTGTGATCTACACACTTCTACGTACAAAGAATAACACAGGTACACATAATAACAATACTGTCGTCGGGGTGTGATACGTGCATCGTAACACACCGTCAACGTCGTCGGGTGCGATACGTTCATCTTAATACACCGTCAACGTCGTCGGGCTGTAATACGTTCATCTTAGCACACCATCAATGTTGCCAGGTGTGATACGAATATCTAAACACACCATCAATGTCGATGGGGTTCATACGCGTTCACCTTACACCTTTTCGACTGTTGTCGGAGTATGATCAACGTTATCTTATCATACTACAACTATCGTCAATGTGTCATCGTCGTTGTCACACATACAAATAACACAACAGGACTGTCTGTCGTCGGTGTGAGACTTCTACAACTAACACCATCACAAATGTCGTCGGTGTGCAGCACGCCTACATACACCTCACACATTTGACTGACGTTGACGTGTAATACGCATACACATTAAACCTCGTTGACGTGTGACACGCGTATACCTTACACCTGCGACTGTTGTTGGTATGCGACTCGTAAATCCTGCACCTCTACGATCCTCGTCAGTATCACATATACAGATAGCACAACTTGACGACTGACGTCATCGTGCGACTCACACACACACACATCTTATCACACCAAGGTGTACAGTCATGTACACCAACAGATTGATTAACGCAAATATACACATCTACACACAAAGCCGTGACGCAATTTCACATAAGCATGCTATATTTTCTAAAGTGGACATCCTATTCATTTTTAACCAATAGAAGTTACGGATCAACAGTATCCAGACTAAGAGTCTCCAAACATACATCCAATAACGAGAGACTAGATGTAGGATTTAGTAATACCAATAAAGTATTTTACAGGCTTCAAACAATATAAGGAAAGGAAAAATGTAAGTGATAAATAAACATTGGCTATAATTATAACTCTCGAACCATAGCTCTATATGTCAGGGAGACAATCCCCTGACGACAATTAATGTTAACACAACCAGTATAGTAGCTAGAAAGTTTAGTACATAAAACGTGAATTACATTGGCTACCAGCAACATTATTTAACACGGGAGCCAATAACATGATGACATATATACCTTCTATATATCATCACACTCACACCAGTTAACACGTGAGCCAATAACATGATAACATATATACCTTCTATATATCATCACACTCACAACAGTTAACACGTGGACCTGAAACATGATAACATATATACCTTCTATATATCATCACACTCACAACAGTTAACACGTGGGCCTGAAACATACATCTGAATCTGACATGAATTGATATGTATCATATTGTTCTGTGTGACACAAGTTTCCAACAATATCGGAGTGGCCAACAGACACGGATCCAGAGGTGTATACAAACAATTCATTGTTCGACTGATCCAGGTGTATACACGCAAAATTATTCTTGCTTGACTTTTAAAACGGTTAAAAATTAAAAATAATAAAAATAATTACAAAGTGACCATTAGTTTAAGGATCCCTGTCCCACTGAACCGTGTTCTTTTCGTATTTACAGTTATTTTCCCCTTATTTCATTTCGGATATTACTGAGGTACATGATACTTCCGCTGACCAGCTCAGTCGGGGGTTTGAGCGTTATTATAACAATCAGAATACTGTTGTTAATTATATTTTGTTTATTTGATCTTTACCATGTTTTTCAGGGTATAGTTTTCTTTTCAGAATTGATTTATCAAAGCTACAGCCATGCTGGAAAAGAAGTGTTTAATGCCTAGTTACAGCTGTTAGCAGTGGTATGGGGTCCTTAAATGGATATATTGGTAATTTACATTTGTGTCACAAGAGCTACATGAGTTATGTCACCACTCTTTGCATGAAAATGGAACAAGTAAAGGCATTACTTACACATGGATCAACGTATCAACAATATGCGTTTTAGGTGAAAGAACGTTTTGTTAGAATTTTCTAACTACTAAATGGTAACGAATCCGATGATAAGCCTAAACCTAGCCATACGCAAGATCTGCGCCACCAGTATTTCCTCTGAATCCGTGTCTGATACCAAATAAAACATGAAAACACTTAGTGATCAACCTCAGAAAGGCTTTTAACAGCAGGTATATTGACTTCAGTGATATCGATGAAATGATCGCTACAAGTCATGTGATCACTACATGTCATGTGATCGCATGGATTCGATAATAATTCATTTTACGATCTATTGCAGGATCAATGATAGTTTTCTTTGTCAGTCGTGGTATATTCACAACAACTGGCACATCTACAGGTATTGTACAATTGAGATTATCCTAAAAGGTCTAACATTGGTACATTATACCATAAAATAAATGATATGCACACGTTAATTAAGGAATGTAACACACTCTCTCCTCTCCATGGAAACAGACAATGGTACACCGAACATACAGGATACAGCTGAATGACAGATGGACAAAAACATACTTGGTATAGCTGTTCACAGGAGTACAACGTACATACCTGATACAGATGGTGACTGGCAGATGGACAAAAACATACCAGGTAGTTCACTAACAAAGACGCACCGAACTTGCCAGGTACAGGTGTTCACTGACAGAGGTACACCGAACATACAAGATACAGGTGTTCACTGACAGAGGTACACCGAACATACAAGATACATGTGTTCACTGACAGAGGTACACCGAACATACCAGGTACAGGTGTTCACTATCAGAGGTACACCGAACATACAAGATACAGGTGTTCACTAACAGAGGTACACCGAACATACCAGGTACAGGTGTTCACCGACAGAGGAACACCGAACATACCTGATACAGCTGGTCACTGACAGAGGTACAACGAACATACCTGATACAGCTGGTCACTGACAGAGGTACATCGAACATACCAGGTACAGGTGTTCACTGACAAAGACACACCGTAAATACCTGGTACAGCTTGTCTAAGAGTACAGGTGTTCACTGACAAAGACACACCGTAAATATCTGGTACAACTTGTCTAAGAGTACAGGTGTTCGATGACAAAGACACACCGTAAATACCCGGTACAGCTTGTCTAAGAGGTACACTGAACATATCTGGTACGCCTGGTCCCTGACAGATGTCAACTGAACATACCTGGTAAGGAGGTAATTCAAACGTTACAAATACAGCTTAGCACTGACGGCAGTACACTGGACTTACCTGATACAGTTTATCACTAAGGTACACATCAGTATCCGGTCACTGACAAAGGTAAAGCAAACAAGCGTAAACCGTACGTACCAAATACAGATGGTCACTAAGAGAGGTACACCGACCTAGAGCTAGTCGCTATTACAGGTACATCGTGCATACCAGGTGGTAGTGGACACCGAATGTACGCAGTGCAGCTGGTTTTGTTCAAAATTATACCTAACAAAAGAGTCCCCATCTAGAACGTAAGTTTAGTCTTATGTAGTAACGCATTAGATGCCAATTTAAATGAAGCCTTTACCAGGGCCACTCGAGGACAAATATATTTAGTTATTTAAATGAAGAAGGGATATGAAATTGTACCAATTATCAGAGCGACATGAAACATATAGTGACCGCATGTAAACATGAAATGCTTGTGTGAATCATAATCTTGAAACTTTAATAGTCAGGACACTAACACATGTCCAGATCGGGAACAATACCACAGTATCGGCCCAGAAAGCACATTCAAACACTTAGCACATACATACTCAAAATATCGTCAGTTACACAAACACAATTATTTCCCAACAGTATAATATCTAGCACAACAGTTATAATGGCACGATCTTCCATTTCTGACCAATACCAAACACACGTGTTCACACATACCCGTCGTTACATCATAACATCTCGCTGTCCATAGCTGGATAATAGTCCACGATCCTTTCATTGTGGACCTGTCTCTGATACTGATGGAATTCCTGACGAAGTTTTTGGAATCGTTCTTCGGAGTTGTCATACCGACTTTGGCGCGTAGGTTTTGGGTAGAGATCATCGTAGAAGTTGGACGTACTGAGGCCACTCTCAAGAGCACTCAACAGTTCGTCTCCAACGGGGTGGACACTGGAATATTTGTTCAGTGTGTCATTCACATCAAACTCATAATTCTCATCGCCCGATGCCTCTCGACGTAGGCTATAGTCCTGACTTGTGTCATGAGGACCAAGAAGTGACGTCACAGATGCACTATTATTCTTTTGTTGTCGCCAAGGGCCGGATGACCCAGTGTTCTTACTGCCAATACCACTGCTGACAGAGTCTGGCGTGGTGTCGTCTCCAGTGAAGCCACGTGTATCTGAAGAGTTACGCACTCGACTGCTGGAACTTCCTCGCCCTGAGCTGCTTATACTATATCTATTTCCAGTACCCCTATCTGACTTGAATGAGTCAATGTCAAAGTTGTACCCATACGGCCAACCCTGGCGGTCTATATTTGTCCTGGACGGAGATTCGTTATCAGAATGAGACAGTCGGCCTCTGCGTGGAGGTACGGGAACATCTTGGTCGGAATATTGCGATGTTCCAGTTCTAAGGGGAAGCACACTATCAGACAAATATGTCTTTCGCCCTGGTACCACTGGTGGTAACCTGTCGTCAAAACTATGATCCAGATCAAGAGTGGAACTCCTGCTAGCCGAGCGTGTCCGTAGAGCGCGCGGTCCTCGACGTACACGGTCCACTGCCCCCTGGAGATGTTCACGAGTGTAACCTGCTCTTCCCAAAGAATCTTTCTGGTTGGGAGGAACTCTTGCCACCTGACGGCTTCGTCCAGAATTTCCATCTAACGTTCTTTCAATCACTGTAAAATCAGAATTGTCAAAATGAACTCTAGATGTAGATCGTGATCCATCGTCGCGTAAAGTGTTGTCAGACGACTTCCATCTAGGAAACTCGAATGACTGTGGCACAGTAAAATCTTGCCTGGACAGAGGATGTAGCCTCGGCAGTGTGTCATGTGACCTATCAGATGACCTATCTAATGATCTATCTACAAATGATGGATGAACTGAACTCAAATCTTCCACACCAAATCGAGGGTCAAAACTCTCATTGACTGGATCACCAGTCAAATATGTTTGATATGACGAAGGTTTCATGGAACTTTGCCTTGGGAATGTTGGTCGATCCGGGAAGGATCTGTTGCCTGCCGCGGGGCTGAACACATCGTCTGTGTCACCAGGGTAACTATAGGGGTCGCCACAGCCCCAATGCCGGTGCGGCCCCATGTACACCTCCGGCTTGTAGGGCACCCTGTACCCTCTCGGAAGGGGAGGCCTCCTTGGGGCAAACCCGTTCTCATCATCCGTTTCATCGTCAGCATCGCTGTCATGATTTCCATCTGACACAGGCGAGCGGAGCATGGGGTAGGACGTATCATGTAGCTGGGTGACCGAAAGCTTTAGGCTCGGTCTGTCCTTGGGACTGTCATTTCTGACAGGAGACGTCCAGCGCCCCCCCGACCCACCACTAGCTCCGCCACCGACACTCCCCGATATAGCACTGTCTCTCCCACCTATCTGTTTGCCACTAGTGTCGGGTTTAGAAAAGCGACCTCTCCCAGTCTGGGAGCGCCTCCCATTTGAGCTACGAGACACACTCCGACCACTCCTGTTGGGATCAAACAAACACTTGTCAGGATTAAACACCCGACTGTCCTGAAAATATGCGCTCACTGGCAAAGTGTCCTCCCTGTAGAATTCGTTGGAATGTGGCACCACAAAAATCCCGTTTCCACAATCAATACTATTCAAAGAGCCTGTTCCTCCAATCGCGTCCCAGCTATCCCATTCTGGCGCATTTTGACTACAAAACAGAAATATTAATCCAATTAGAGTTGATTAGTACAATTATAAAGATTCAACTATTAAAACAATACTTGTTTAAAAAACAAAAAAATGGATAATTTACACCAGAATATTATTTAAAAATAGCAATTCTGTTTATTATTTCATTAAGATGACAAAGATCAAATTGTTCTTCAAGATGAGTCTTCGTAAAAGATTCAATAATACATTTGATAGGAAGAAAACATACTTTTATGTAACAAACTAACGTTACATAAATTATGATTAACAAAAGGTGGATAAGTAAGAAAGGAATGTAGCAGGGGAAGATATGATAGAAGAAAAGTAGCAAAATGAAAAAAAATATAGCAACATATTAGTGTTGGCTAATAGTAGATTACAAATAGGACTTTACAGAGAAAAGATTGTTTAGAAACAAAGTGGTTGTGTAGACCAAAGTTAGTTACAAGAGTAACAGGGAATGATCGGCACAAAAGAAGGACTTTTTGGCATAAATATGAAATTTAGAAAAGTGGAACTGCTGTGGGGAAAATGATTTCTGTTGAACGGTTGAACAATTCAAAATAGTTTATTTTCAAAAAAAAGAAGTAGATTTAATAAAAACTAGTTTTCAAGCAAATGGAGACCTTAAACGTTTCCGAAACAATTGTGAAATTTCAAAGTGTGAAATTCTGAGGGAACGTTATGACTTGGCAGATAAAAAAAGGTTTTTAATTGGATGGTTTAGTTAACAGGGGAAATGCAAGAATTTAAAAAAAAAAAAAGTCAAATTTGCAGACTAAAAGACTTTTACACAAATTTGTAATTTCAAAAAGAAATATCCATTATTTAGTAAGAGATAAGGAGAAAGTGTCGTATGACAATTGCTCCTTTCGGAGGAAATATGAAAATATACAGCGCAAAGAATAAAATTTCGGTGAAATATTGACTTTGCAGTGACAGAAGCGAAATCATCAGAAACAGACTTTAAAGGAAAAGAATAACTTTGAAAAGTGGACGCTACAAGGGAAAAGGAGAGCAGATATGCATATATTTACATATTGCAGTTATATCATTCAGGCAAAAGATGTGTTTTTCACACAAATTCAGAATTTATTTTGAAGCTTATATTCAACAGGAGACGACATTTTAAATATTCAAGAAAATCCATTAAAAAATCCTATTACAAAAAACGACAAACCAAATACCATCCTTAAACTAAAAAGTAGGTTATGAAAAACAGGACAAAAAGGGAAGAGCCCGATAGTTTACTATTTGACAAGAACACTAGGATAAGTAAAGACAGTGCAAGGTAAGAAATAAAAGGAGAAACAAATCAAGGAAAGTGTAAGCATTATAGACTATATAGAGTGTTAAGTGTAAAAAGGTCCACCAGTACAGCAGAGATACAGTGAGACACAGCAGATACAATCAAGGGCACATAACTCTATAACATAACAATTTCAACAACAATATCAACTAATAACAAATGACAAGATTTTCATGCAGGGCAACTTTAACCAATCACAAAACAGTGGGTTAAAACTTTCAGCCAATCAAAATTTATTTTGCATTACTTCACCTTTCTTGTCTATCCTGTTGTTTCCATGGTAATATTAAATGAAACAAATCTCATGTTATATGTCTGATAGATTACATGTACGATACAATCAGTTGCTTATAATCTATGTTTATTTTCTGAGAAAGTGTAAAAAAATCTTTATAATTCTGACATCTTACTTCCTAATTCTCTTTATTTTTCTCGTCAAGGCATTTAAAGTTGGAGTTATAGAAAGCAATGGCGACATTGTTTTCAGTGACAGCGGCTCTGGTCAAAACGAAATTAAAACATAGACTCGTGAAGTTTTAGGTTTCAGATATGGTTCTTTATACCTGGACAATATCGCCCAAGCAAACGTTTGCCCTTTTACAGTAAAATCTATATTCGCCAATTGTTAATTTCGCCTTCACCTTAAAATTACACCTCGGCACAGAGTTTCCAGCAAACAATCTCTCACTTATTTTGCAACGTAAAATTACCACAATTGATACAGTGGCTCAGCTGTTTGGACAAATGTAAATCGAATTCTTGATTGACGGATTGCAATCTGTAATTTAAAACAACTATTTCTTTTACAAACTAAGATTTGCTATAACTAAAACTGGGGTATTTATATAACCTTCAGTTTACACATATTTCATTCAGATAAAACACTAGTTTAGAAGCACTGCAAGACATATAGCTAATGAAACACGTGGTTCAAACTACAAAACACCTGTAAGAGTGGAAAACACTTGAGTCTATGTTGGAGGTAGTATTCCTTATAATGCACAATACATTTCGTATATTTTTCTATATCCAAGGCAATTAAAAAGACTACTTAAAGACAAATAATTCAGTTTCAGTTTTCCTTGATTTTCCTTCAAGAATTAGACATACCGTTATTTTCAAATGCGAATATTTTAATAAATTTGTATGATTTCCACCGCATACTAAGTGACAGGTGGTTAGAATTGTGGAGATTGGTTGGACACAATTTCAAAAATGGAGAAATGAAATAATGGGAAATATTGTATATTTCAAAATACAAACATACTGTTACAGCGCATTAATTTGTTAACTTAAATAGGATTTTTAATAATGATTTTTAATAATGATAACTGTCATATTTGCATAAATAACTTGCTAGGTCGTGTAAAATAGACAAAGATTGATTAACGAAAATATGATAAATCCATGCGTGGATTTTTAACTGATAATAAGGATCAATATTTTAACATTGGTAATTATAAATTACTTAAATATATGTACAAATATATGTATCATATATTTCATGCAGTGTTACTTTCTCGTTCTGGTGGAAATTTAAGGATTCATGAAGTACTGAATTTGTGCTTTTTCAGATTTTTAAGGTACTTTTCTTATTTGACATATACATTTGCAGTTGAATTCACGGATACACAAAACTCGCGTATCCGCGAAAATAATACTGTCCTGAAGGTGACTGTATACAGTAAACATGTATGCATATTATATAACCCTGTTTACAGTATCTATCAATCTATGTAAGTCTGTTTATATATACTGTTGTATACTCACGTTCTATTTATGGGCATGTGTGAATCCATTTCGTCCGCTGGACCTATATATTTTACGTTTCCTACAAAAATAAAAACAAAACTGTATGAGTGTGTGCTATTGGTTTGTAAAATCAACGATAAACTTTTAGATGCTAAGAAATTGTAGAATGTAGATATGTAGCTCGCATAATTAGTACAATTACCCTCTCAACGTATTTCTATCCATAAATTGGACACTTATTTTGAAGTTGTGCTTTTATAATTCCTGTATGCAACATTGGTAGAGTGTAGGCTACGGATTTCGACGCCTGCATTTTTCTAAAAAAAACATTTTATTAATTTTTATTTTCAAACATCAAAATTTCGAAAAATTACCATTATGTAAAATGCATGGCAACATGCAAATTTTTTATGGAATATTTCTTTTGAAAATGACAGATATTTCACAATAGTGACAACTGTTATCAGAGAGTTTAATGTGTTGGTACCCTTTAACTAAGTGTATGCCCATTTGCAAACAAAAGTTAGATAATTTTGTTTAAGTTTGGCAAACAGACAATCTTTTTTGTGTATCTGGCAAGCAGCCAACCTTTATTTATTTTGGAAAAAGCCAAACTTACCATATTTATCTCCTCTGTGTCTTTCTTTCCGTTTACTGCATATAACAGCGATGATAACGAGGAGAATGGCGACGAGAAGAAATAATAACCCACCCACTATCCCTCCAATTTCTGCCTGTGATAGGTAAATGCCTGAAGGCTCTGGAAAACAAAAATAAAATGACACAGGTAAATACAAACCTTCATTACGTTCAAATCAAAATAGTTAGGGATATATGCTACCTAGTCATGCCATTTTCTAATAAGAGTTTCTCAATTACAAACACGTAAAAAAATGTTATTAGTAAAATGAACAGTCATGAAAAAAATTTCAGATATATATTTATAATTCTAATTAAAATATTTGTAATTGTAATCGTAATTGTGTAGGAATATATCATGATATAACAAGTGTAGTTTACTATTAAAATAAGGAGCTGGTATTAAAACGGTAGTCATGCGTTTAGCTTCCTCTCACAGTAGGATAATGTTTGCTGAAGTAACTTTCGTGAACACACTACTCAAGGTTACAAGAGAACATAAAAACAATATATATAGAAGAAAAACATTATTTCATGAAAGCAAAACTGTCTTAATTTGGTAGACAGAAATGCTTAATGTCTTTGAAAACATTGTCTTGTTTTAACAATTTGATATGTAGTTAAATTAAATTGATCTGGAAAAATGATCCTAAAAACAAGGTTTTTATATTCTTCTTTGCTTAAAAGTCATTTGATACAATGATTTTATTATATATTAACTACATGTTACTATTATGTTTCAATATTTGCTCACACCAAACAGGAATGTGATCGACATAAAGTAATGTTATATTGAGGAATCCAAATGAGCAGTTGATTTTATTTTTACATTTCTTACTTTTGATAATTAATATGTGTATGGAATTCTGTGGGATATACGCAGTTCACATCAACAATCAACCAAAGCAAGTAACGTAACAACTTCGTTAACCTAAGACTATAATATAATGAATTAAATAATATTCAATATAACTATTATAAAACCCCAGTTATCGACATTGAGTAACTAGATAATCAAACCTCAAGGCTGCAAACCCATAGAAATTATTTTAGATTTTGCATATTTATAAATATTTTTCTGATCCACCAACGAAAGTATTCAGTACATGTACTTAATTTACATGGGGAAAAATCTATCAAAATTTCATAAGGTTTAATGTGCAATCAAATCCAAGACAGGCCCATACTGTTGAAAAAGAGTAAATCCTCTCAACAACATTCCAAAACGAATAATATAACTCAGCATTAATTCTGAACTTATTGCCCATCAATGTTTACACACAACATATTTTATACACACAGGCTTGGGAACGAAAACACAGGACGACAACATTTACAAATGGGTAAATGGAAATAATGAAAAAAGGACACCGTTGATTTATATCACTTAATGGATTTGTTTCTGAGAAATAGAAACAATAGAAAAATCTCAAAAAGGTATTCATAGCATTTTAAACAAAATCATGTTATGTAATAAAAAGAAATACTCATGTTATATTTTAATATTGTATATTTTCAATATATCATGGCTTATTTTTTTTCGAATGGCTGCAATTATTTTTCATCAAAACTTAAGAAAGGTTTGGTCATTGATTTTAATGTGTGTTCATTATACTTAAATTTACACTAAAATTGATATTTCTTTTACAAAAAAAGTGTGATTCTAGAAAGGCAGGCTAGGATTATCATTTAACAGAACTGAATGTGAAAAAATATGTGAAATATGAAAACAATACTTAAAGATTTCAAGCCAAAAAATAAAACGAATGAAAAATTAATATTAAAGGGACAGGTATTGACAGACATGTTTTTTCTTTTTCTGGGAATCCGGTCGATATATGTGTACTTAATTAACTCAGTACTGTGTGGGATCTGATCTTTACTTACACATTACAACCAATGTCCTTACAATCGTCTTTAATCATATTGGTAATTCATATTTTCATCATCATCATTTTATCAAATCACCTTACAAGTATTTAGGATTAGCTAACACCAACAAAAATACATCCCGATAGTTATAGTACACCGCTCCAAATATTAAATCCACGGAGATTGTGTGAGATTCGCGTGGAGAAACCCGAAACATCAAGTGTTACGCTTCAAAATTTACCTTGAAGCCAATATTTCGAAATAATCAGTAATATTTATAAAAACTCGAACACAAAACATTGAAACCCCATACAATTGCTACGAAGTTCAATAGAAATACTTCCAAAAACTGAAGATTTGTAAGTATCAGTTCGAACAACTTACGTCAGACAATGGCTATGTTTACCATCCAGCATCTTTCTTTGACATTTATTTGATAGATCCTACATGAAGTAAATTTAAACTTGATATTGACAGACTTAACTCTACATAAGTGAATATATATATCTATTCCAAAACAAAAATACCCTGCAGGTGCCAGCCAAACAGAACAAAAACAACGAAAACCTTCAAAATGTGTGGGTCAGGTCTGGAATAAGTTCATGCATGCTTAAAAACCATATCATAAAGAACCCATCGGTGGCAGCGAGTTTGCAAGACTTTATCCAAAAATTGAAAAAATAATCTTTTAAAATTATATATAAAACACGGCAATAAAACACTTTGGGTGAATCAAAATATGAGGATCACAAAAAATAATTTGAAAGAATTCCAATAAATGTTTATACCGGCTTCCAAATCGGCCATGCTAATACTGGTAGTCACTGCAAAGGCAAATTGTAGTGAATGTTATAATGCTGGTCATTACTGTAAACGCAAGCTTAAATATATGTTATGATGTTGGTAGCCACTGGAAAGGCAGGTTATTGTGGTGATGCTACTGTAGTGACTGTGAATGCATGTTTAATTGCGCTATAATGCTTGCAACGTCAGGAATTTTCTATCAAATGTTTGAAAATAATATACGTTTGATTGATTTGAATTTTATGTGTTTTAACCTCAATATGATAAATTGGCATACATTGGCGTAAAATTAAATTCCTGTATTGGAATTTCAGTAACAACGGAATGTTGAAATTCAATATTAGTGATGTCAGGATATGGTTTCATATGCTAAAGATGTTATTTAGCAGCAACCACCTGGTGTCCTTTCCTTGAAATATATTTCTAATGTTCCGTGCTACATTAGGTCTGAGGTGCATTTATATTTTCTGCTTTCGAAGGAGTTATATATTAATATGTGTTATTGATATTTGTAAATTCATTCATTATTTCAGACTGGGTTTTGCAGGAGTTATTCCCCTCCACAGGAGCTATTCCGCTTAACAAATTAAATGAAGAGTTAGTTCATTCATTTATGGTTTGATTATTCCTCCTTACCCTTTGACACAAGAGTTTCAATTTTGTTCTTTATTTCCCTTTCATGCATGAATTGAGGTTTTGATATTATTCCTCGTAAGTTATTCCAATTTGTTTAAACTTCTTGACATCATAGGAAGCCTTTATAATTCTATCCTCGATTTTGTAAGTGATTATATTAGGAGTTATCCCCCATTGTTCATTCGTGCATGATTTCAGATTGGTTTTCTACGAGTTATCGCCCTTGGTTAGTGAGTTGGTGAATGGTAGCATATATAGCAGTGAGGGATTTCACATAACAAACAACCATACAAACGTATAACTGTATGCTTTGTGTCATATGCTAAAGAATGTGCCAGCCCAGCGCTCATATAGCAAAGCGTTCGTTTCAATCAAGCTATTAATAATACCAACGAATATTCAATAACATTTTCTATCCATTTCAAAGTAGTGATATTGAAACTTACCCAACAAACACAATTCCATGTTAAGTTTAATATGAACTAGACAAGGCCAAATAAAACCAATTAACTATTCCTGCTTGTCCTATACTTCATTCTTTCTTTCCGTTGCTTTAACCGTTTTCATGGTTTTAAGGGCTAAAGAGCTAAAACTCTACGAAAATCAATTATTTGTATTATGTTATTTTGGTAAAAGATTCCTCTATGTTTTGAAATTCTACATGTAATTGAAATAGTCCAGACAGAGGCTTATGTTTCCAATAATTCTTTCATTATGGAAATGAAGTCTTGGAATTCTACATATTTTTTTTTATTAAATCCAGATGGATGTTTATTTTCAAACTATTAGAAAACGGAAAAAGTAACATCATGGAAAAAGAAACCGTATGATGAGCTGACCATTTTCAGGATCAATGTTTCCGTTCAATCAGTCAGTTTTCTTTTTAAAGTTACATTTTACAGATACAATACGGTGTGATCTAATTGAAGTTCTAGTTTTACATATTTTTTTCTAGATCCTACACATTTCGTATTAGGCAGGTTAAAACTTAACAGGATCTGAATTTCTTTTATTTGGCCTTCCGATACATTTAAAATTGTGTTGCAAGTGAGTTGGGGCTATATATTTTAGTAAATGTCTTCCAATGGTTACATAAATATAAACAGGATGGTATTTACCTGCAGCTGGCGTTGTTACTATGGTAACTGCACTTGGGTAACTATAAGACAGCACACTGTAGGCATATACACGGAACCGATACGTTGTCGATGGGTCAACTTTTTCGTAGAAATAAGACGCCAAGGGGAATTTAACATGGTCATTAAATTTCACCCAGCGATTAGTTGTGGTCATCTCAATGACGTAATAAAATATGGTGGTATTAGCATCATTTGCTGGCTGCCAGGAAATCCTTATACCGCCATTTTCGTTTCTGGCTGTGACATTCTTGGGAGGAAATGGTCTTGGTCCTATTGTGAAAACGCGGAGTGATTTCAAATATTAAATATCCTCAAATCAATATGGGGTTTCCATTGGATACAGAGTAAATAAATATAATATTTAATTCGTTTACATATCCACTGGATGTTTTCGCTCATCTCTATATGAAACAATAATTTGTACCTTGGGGCAGCAAATGTTAATGTCACTAGAAATACGAAGTAAAGTAGTGCCTACTTGAACATTTAGTTTGCTGAAGTAAAAAGCCAAACAAAGTAAATATTGAATGTAATGACAAAAGGGACAAATGAGTAGCTTAAAAACCTTGTTATCTTTTGTAGTTTTAAGCTACAACTGAACGTCTTTCCTAGGGGTATAATGAAGGAGGTTGATAACCTGACGGACTGCCTAGACAACTAAATTTGTCTAAGGAGGGGTGATACACCTAGAAAACTTACCGAGGGGTGTGTCTAAGGAGGGGTGATACACCTAGACAACTTATCTAGGGGTTTGTCTAAGGAGGGGTGATACACCTAAACGACTTACCTAGGGGTTTGTCTAAGGAAGGGCGATACACCTAAACGACTTACCTAGGGGTTTGTCTAAGGAGGGGTGACAACTTAGACAACTTACCTAGGGGTTTGCCTAAGGAGGGATGATACACCTAGACAACGTACCTAGGGGTTTGTCTAAGGAGGGGTGATACACCTAGACACCTTACCTAGGGGTTTGCCTAAGGAGGGGTGATACACCTAGACAACGTACCTAGGGGTTTGTCTAAGGAGGGGCGATACACCTAGACAACTTACCTGTGAGTTTGTCTAAGGAGGGGTGATACACCTAGACAACTTACCGAGGGACATGTCTAAGGAGAGGTGATACACCTAGACAACTTACCTAGGGGTTTGTCTAAGAAGGGGTGATACACCTAGACAACTTACCTAGGGGTTTGCCTAAGGAGGGGTGATACACCTAGACAACTTACCTAGGGGTTTGTCTAAGGAAGGGCGATACACCTAAACGACTAACCTAGGGGTTTGTCTAAAGAGGGATGATACACCTAAACGACTTACCTAGGGGTTTGTCTAAGGAGGGGTGATACACCTAAACGACTTACCTAGGGGTTTGTCTAAAGAGGGATGATACACCTAAACGACTTACCTAGGGGTTTGTCTAAGGAAGGGCGATACACCTAAACGACTTACCTAGGGGTTTGTCTAAGGAGGGGTGATACACCTGGCCGTTTGTTGGATCTGTGGGTAAGGCTGTTGGCAGGGTTCCTGTGTTACCTGTCAAACACAACATAGCTTCATGAAGACTCCTGGTTAAAATATTCTACCTTTTTATCAGGCTATACATACATTTCTCGTTGATTTCAAATTTGATTTAAATGATCTAATTTCTACATTACAAACATTTCATTGTAATGATTGATGACATATAACAATGTTTTTAATGACTGTTTAATAACAACTACAATGTAAAATGAATGCTAATGACATCAATGCACCCTCATAGTTTACCAAGTGGCACATTCAAATGTAAAAGTATGTTGGTGAAAAATCAACTAGTGAAAAAAGCGTGAAAATAGAAATATGATGCCGAAGTATGAAAATAAAATGTTGATTCCTCATAGAACAGCTGATCATTAAATCAATGTTTCATGGACACTTATAACTTATTTTTCAAAAGCATAATACATTAGTATCGAAGATTTAGTGAAGCTTTCGGAATGTAAATATAAAATGTGAAGAGTTTCACATCCTGATTACAAAGTTCTTCCGTATAATATCATATATTTACAGCACTACAATTGAAATCATCACAATCATTTAATTGCATTACATTTGATATTGCAAATGTACTAAATAATTTCAATATTCTTATCTTTAAGAAATGAGAAAACCACAAATTGAATGATAAAATTTACGATGAAAAATCCTTGTAATTGCTTGACCCGCTGCTACCATGATACCAAACATCCACACAGTAAATAGATCTATCAAACGCCGACAGTATAAACACTAATTGGAGTGGAACTGTTTGATATTTTTTAAACAATCTATCTAAGTTAAATACATTCTGAAGCCTATTTTCACGTTTAAGGTGCGAGGCCTACACTGAACTGCACTAATTGATGGAAACTAATGATACTATCAAGCGTCAACTTCTAACGAAGACTTCAAGTAAAATTCTGTTAAAAATACACATCGTTTTCTATTGAATTATAAAGATATAACAGAAATGAAGAAAGTTCAACGTTTGCAAGGACAGCTTCGACAAGCTGCACTATGCGACTAATAGACGACAAAAAACTTCTACTTCTAACAAGTGAAGACATCAAGGAATATTCTAGCTGCAGAGTCTACATGGCAATGTACAGCTAAATGTATCTACATCTCGTAAAGACATGCCAATCCTCGGAGGTGAGACATTCCCTGTCTCTTGTAATTTCAACTTTTGACGTATTCGACTTGCACATATCCATATAAAGAGAATACAATTTTTTCAATTGTGTAAGTGTTTTCTTACGGTGGCACTGCAAGATTAGTTTTTCTATTGTATCGTTATAATAGAGCTAAAGGTAAGAGATGTTGGGAATCAACTTTAACTCATTGATTGGCAAAGGTCAACAACAAAGAGACCAATAATACACGGCCTCATAGCTGACGTGCTAGAAAGTAAAGAGGAAATTAATTATTGCTTAATACACATATAAACAAATAATATTCCATTTTCTGATACTTAATGAATAATTTAATACTAACTTTTGCATGCAGTATAAGGCTATCTTATGTCATGATACAATGCTTGTTAATGGAACTAATACATACTGATGAAATAATCTCATATGCATATAGTATACAGAATATGATGTTGGAAATGGATATGAATATAGATCTAAGCACCTGGCAGAGCAAGCATCTGTTGATCCTGGTCATTCACATGCTTGAAAATTAGTTTGTTAGAAATGTTCAATGCTATCTGTTTGTCATGCTTATTGTTCATCCTCCAGATCCCTGTGACCCATGCTTGCAGTTCTTTTATAGCTTTAGTATCCGTGTTACACAAACAGAAAAATGTTTTCAAGCAACTTATTTGTATGTGTATAGCAAGGTATAAGTAGTTCAAAGCTTTCCTTTATAGCACATTTTGTTAACAAAAAAGATAGAAAGAATGAAAACAAATTAGAATTATCCCGACCTAAATGGTATACAGTGAATCCTGTTTCATTCGCCCCATGGCCATTGATCCATGGCTTTTCCGGCATCCCGTCATATTCGACAGAAAACTCCAATCCAATGTCATACAATAACATCTAAATTAGATCTATGTATTCCAAATGTCTTTCTGATTGAACCAATATGATGATGGATTCTTAAATGTGGCGGATCGCAAAGGTTTCACTGTATATACATAGACTACGTAACTTTTATGAATATAAATTATATAGAATTGTATTCATAGCAAGTAAGGTGCAAAATGCATCCATGATTACGACATTAACAACGTAAATATTTATTTTATATTACAATGTTTTGTCATACAATTGGAAAACATAGCTATAGGCTTTCATACACATCATCCAACTTTCGTTCAGTACTTAACACACAATATAAATGTCCATGTCATGTATCAAATCCAATGATGAGACAAACACTACAGAAGCTTCAATACCATACCATATTTCTATTTGGTACATCTTGGCAATGGTTTTGCGATATTCCATTGACATGGAAGTTTGACCAACAGTCACTGTTGGATTCCACCACATTTCATACTTATTCAGCGGCAGATGTAAGAAGTGCAATGCTATTCAATTTCTTTGAGAGATACTGAGGTTTCAATTAGATTTTAAAAGTTCAAAAATATATGACGGACAGACAGAGACGTACGGACACAGTCACATTGGTGAAGCACTTATGCCTACTGTTTCATTTGCCTTACGGGCATGGAATAAAATGAAAAAACCCAACAACGTATGAGGTCTAAAAGTACACTGGAGGTTATTCAGTTCTGACGCCAAAATGAAAACTGTGAAGACTTCATCAAATACTCTCCAATCAAAACAACTGATCATTCACATCTTCTTTAAGAAACATCAGTAAGAAAAGACATTCGTGGAGAGGATATAAGTCGATAAGGTATCCCCTAAGTGATCCCGATAAAATCCCCCACCTGTACCGAAGGGGGAGGGGAGATCATTATGAATAGCAGGCGAGGATAGTTTACAGTTGGTATATAGTAACAGCAGGGGATGGCATTATTTGGAGAAAGTAGAAAAGGGACAAATGTAGAGAGAAAATGATTTGGGAGAGGCATTCAATGTTGGATAAAATACATGGCAAAGGACAAAGTGAAAGATTGCTTCTGTTTCAGGGTGAATAAGAAGACTTTTAAGATAGCCATTAAAAAGAAAGGTATAAGAAAGACATCAATTTGATCAGATATGAGTTATTGGTGTGGGCATTAATTGGGAGGGCTGCACATCAAAAAGTACTTAAAAGGACTTTTGTAACGGGGATTGAATGATTGGAAAGACATGACGCCAGTAAATAGGTACCAAAGAAGATGGCAGGAAATCAAAAGGTATTAATTTCAAAGGATAGCTGTACGAGTGGTAGGAAAGAGAATAAAAGGACAGTAGTGACGGTAGGTTCCAATAAGAAAGGTAGTAGATTAGAAGGTAACAATTGAAAGGTTCCTTGAGATGAAATATATTAATGGTAAGGGTAGTACAGCAGAAGGTATCCATTTGAAAGGACACCTACAATATTGGGAAAGAGAATTATTGGAGGGAATCATTTTGACGGACACCATTTATGTTGGATAATAATGGAGTGAGATACAAAGGGGAGGACGATACACCATGAGGTATTCATTGGAAACGACACGTGTGTTGTGGCGCCAACGGGGAGGTAACGAATTGGAACATCAGATATAACATCATGGGGAGCTTCAGTGATGAGTATATTTGTTTAGGCAACCACTGTCAAGTTCAGAGTCAGCCCTTTAGGTGATGGTAGCGCAAGTAAGCTATGCAAACAAGCCAGTGTTAAAACGAGATCAGGCATGTCACCAATTGAGGACACCTTTTATCCTATAAAATATGAAACAGTTGAACAACTGTTTATAACTTCAAGTCAGTAGTGATCAAAGACAAAATCAAATTACACATGTATGAAATAGTTTTGTGTACAAGTATTAGTAATAAGTATCGATATGACAACACAAAATACTAAAAACTTCATAAATTAAAAAAAAGAAGTGTTATTTGTTCATAGAGTTTAACACAACAAAAACATATTAAACTTAAACAAATAATAATACTGAACTTTCATGTAAAAATAAATAAATTTATGAAACAGTAAAAATGAAACAAAAAATGAAATTTAATGATATTACCATATTGATGACCGAGTTTATGCTCAGCTACAAAAATAAACAAGAAAACATTTCAACGCTGTTTTTTTGCCAAAGCAGTAACAGGTTACAGTAAATAACTAATCTCTAATGAAATATTAAAATTTCACCGAGGCAAAAGTATGTTAAAGGTGAATTTCATGAATAATATGTGCACTTTAAAAAACAAAAATCAACAGCACGAGAATCTCACAGAAACCGTCAATACAAATACGTTTTTAGTTAGCCAAGATCAAAAGTCGATCATTTCTAAACAAGTTTGGTAATTTCTTTGGTCAATTTCAGTTTTTTTACTTGCGAGAAGTTGACGAACAGAAAGACGAATGGACAATAGGAGGGATTGAGAGTGCTTCTACCTCACAATGCTCTGTGTTCCAGGTGAGATAATAAAGACTGTCAATTAATAATCAGAAAACACTAGCAAGATGCGCCGCAAGGTTAAGATCGCTAACCTTTCAAAAGATCTTGAAGTTGATCAAGTCTATTCATCCGAGCAAACTTGATAACCCTCCACCCTGGAAATTCCACTACAAATATCATAATTCTGAGCATTTTTACATATACGAATCTTATATGATCTTGAATTTGATAGTGGGTCAAGGTAATCTGACAGACTTCCAGCACAGTAAACTTTAAGACAATTCAAAAATTTCTAGTCGTTCCGGTTGAATTGTGTCTGAAGCAGTACACGTCTGTGTACTCCAGTGACCTTTGGAGTCGGTCAATTATCATTCACTTGAACTCCTTGTTAACTTTTACATATTATGATTCAAACCGTCCATGGTCTTTGGCAGAGAAAGGATCACAGTAGCACTGTCAAAAACGCAACTATGTATTTGAAACTTATTTTTCTGGCACGACTCTTTGATAAATCGTTCTCAAGTTACCTAGCGGGACTTTTATGAAAACATAATGGATATGAAATAAGCAAGATATAATCAACGTACCTCTTCTGAGAGTAAAATATTCTGCGAGGCCAGACTGGGATTCCAATCTTGGACTGCAGATTTTTTATACCATCGCTTGAACCGATTTGGCTACCTCGATAACAGAATTGTACAAGCTCCAAATATCCAAACGGAAGTTAAGGGGAGGTTACTGTACATAGGAAAAACTACAGTACAGTGGGACAGGGATCTTTAAGCTTTAAACAAGCGTTATTAATGTAAGTCAAAAAAACGTGTTTCATAGTTGTTATAAAATAAACAATAGATATGTTTATCACATATCTGACCCCTTTTATTATGTCATACGGCCATATCGTACTATACACGTGTAACAAAACCTAAAGATGCTGCGATTGGGCAAAACCGTAGGAACATATCCCTACGCCACTACAGGTACTACTGTATTTACCAAATGATGAATTTACTGTTATTTCAAATGAATTTGAAATGTGTATTTTGTAAATCTAGTTCAATTATTTTATATGACACTCCCCTAAAAGGCTTGTGTCATCGAATTATTGAACTCGTGGAATGAATTCAATATTACATGAACACTCATGTAAGATCTTCGATTTACGTTTTCAAACTCGAAAGAGAATGAAAGTCATTCACTTGATCAAACTCGATGTCCATCTACATTAGTAAGTGGAAAGACAAGTATTTATTTCATAAATGATTGTATTCAATAGTTTAGCCTAAATGAACGATGTAACGTTGAAAGTAGGTCATTCATCTGAACTTTATGATCATTCACACCGGCAAACTGCAGACTAAATATAATGCTTTCAGGTCACATATTTCAGCAGGAGTTGTCACATTTATGATCCCTTTGACTTTTGTGAACTGAAATGGGAGAAAGAGTGATCTGTTTGCACAAATTATATTACCTGCAACCTATTAAGTTACATCAGTAAGTATTCCCAGGAACACTCAGGAAAGATTATCGTAGTAAAAAGGTAAAACATTGCAAAGCAATGCTCAGTCCCTGAACAGTAACAGTTGTCTTGTTTACTACACTGCTCGCTGATTCCAAGGATAAAAGGAAGTATTCTGCTACACAGACAGTTCAGGCGATGTCGTAATTGTGAAATGTTTTCAATGATTCAGGTCATATAAGTTATTCCCTCTATACCCTGGACAAGCTATTTCAATGATTTAAGTAAGAGGTAAATGTACGTTACAATAAGATACCTTTTGCATTCAACTCGCATACATACTTATATGACGCCACATCGACTTTTGTACTATCTGACTTGGTAACTCTTGGTGATACAAAATAATTATCTCAGGTGGACTTTGAGACAGAAAGACGTACACAACACGAAGACAGAATTCTTTGGACAGAGTGCATTTTTATATTTTTCTCCAAACAAAATCAGTGGCAGCCAATATGCTTATTACCATAAAGGAAAATGTTTCTGATAACAATCTTGACAATATTCTCTGTAAAATATTCTCCATGACAACCGGCAAAATTCCCATGGTAACCAGGATATTAATCCCTAGTAACAAGCTTGGAAATATATGTTAGCAACAATAGCGACAATATCCAAAGTGACATCTAGGAGTATATTTCTTAATACAACCAGTAAAATATTTGAAGTTACAACCAAGACAATATTCGGACTTACAACCAGGAAAATATATATGTATCCTTAATTACAACAGGATTATCTCCCCTATAACAACAAGGTATATTCTCACTAACAATTGCGACATTTTCCCCAGTGACAATTTGGACAATATTCCTATTTACAACTGAGATATATTCCTAGCAAATGGAACAATATTCCTTGGAAGAGGACAATTTTCCTAATAAACAAAGGACAACTTTCCAAGCAAATAGGATGATATTTGTTGTAAACAATACAATGATTCCAACAAATAGGACAATATTCCTAGTGAGTAAGACAAGGCAATATTCCAAGTAAACATTACGGTGTTCGAGTAAACAGAGCAATATTTCAAGTAAACAGGGCAATGTTCCTAGTAAACAAATCCGAATGAAACTTCCTTACCTAGGAGACTGTCTTACATTCCAACCAGGAGGCTGAATGAAACTTCCTAACCTAGGAGACTGTCTTACATTCCAACCAGGAGGCTGGATCGTTTCCTTTATTACAAAAGGACAATATATAGTAACAACCAGGACAAAATTGTTTGATTTAACTAGGACATTATTCCTAGTGACAGCTGTTACTCACCTTTCATTAGCGTACTAAACATTAGTTATTGGCACCTGAGACCAGTAGTAGGATAAACCATGTATCAAAAATATAAAATCGTAAACTTAACCTCGGTTCTTAATTAAATTATTAGTGTTTTATACCAATTTTTTTAGCTGTGCCAACATTTCTGTGTTCAGTTTGTTTCCAATCCTGTATACAGTGTACCAATCGCTGATACAGGTAAATACTAAACACTATTTCTTAACAAATGAATGGATGTGATACTCTTATAAACGAAAGTTTTTAAAGACAGGTTTTCAAAACCTTCATCCCAGCATTCCATTTGTCAATTCCATATACATATATATCATACACTCTGCTACTGTTTAACTGTCTTTACTGACATCGTTCAAGGAGGAATGGAACATTTGGTCGGACCAGACTGCATTGGTGAACCGGAACTTACTGGTATCATTCGAGGAGAGATAGCAATTCGGTCGAATTTAAAAGATTGTTGATGAAACCTATGCTCAAAATTTGAAATTAGTTTTTTGAAGGTAATAAAAATCCTCTTGATATTACAAAATTCCTTGAAATCAGGCATCAATAAAGGCAGGTTTCACTATAGCCTGGAAAATTCAATTTCCAGAACATATACACAGACATTTTAGTGACAAACCTTAAAATTACGCAAAATCCACCCCCCCCCGCCCCCTCCATGCTTAAAAACACTGTATTGACTGAACGAACGCTTTAACTGCAACAAAAACATCTGAGAACATCAGTTTGACATACCTATGTATGTTAATTCATCTGCAACGGACACGTGTCAAACAAAACTTGTTGATACTATAAATAACTTTTACGCCGCCATTTTCCTTCGTACAGACAAATAAACATAGAACCTTTTTGTGGGAAAACAGAATTCGGGATGAAAGCAATGATACTAAATAACAGGTTTCTTTTATTTTTTTCTAAAAATAAGGGAGCCTCAAAAAATGAGATTTTCCTAATAACCGGGCTAACTCATTACGGTAGATAGAAGGTGAAAGGGTTAATAGGTTTCCATAGGGAAGTTGGGAGGGGTGACACGGAGTTGGACACAAAAAAAAATCAAAAACACATTCACAATTATCTAAATGAAGTGAAATCACTTGGTAAATTGTGGAAAAATTGTGAGAAAATGTGATTAAAGGAAAAAGCAGGGTCAAAACACTATCAGACACAGGCTGCTTGAAATCTCATAACATCGGAAATGCATCATGGGAAATGTCATGTGACACATGCAGATAGTACAGCAAGGTGAAAGAGTGCAACAAACATTGTCTGCAAAGAGGTTATTATGCTAATGAGAAAAGAATGTACCAATCGTTGTCGAGGTTGTTTGGGTGCTGTTTCCTGAGTAAGCATGTAAAATTATCACAAAAACAAACGTCATTTCAACCGTACATGACCACTGTAACCATAGCAACTACCTTCTGATATTGCAGCCAATTTAAAAAATGTCAAAAAGCTAGCAGCTGCCAGGGTCAAGGATGAAACCCGGATTTTTTTATAACTGTCTTCAAGGAGATAATAGTGAACTCCCATAACATCTACTGTCAGGGTTCAAAGGATTTCTGTATTTACTGATGAAGTCAGCCATTCAATAAAGGAAATCATGGATGACTGACTTCAACCTTTGACCTTGATCAGAAAGAGCTATAAGAGGGTTTTACTTATCTCCCGATGACAGAGGTTATTTTCATAATCAAAATCATTGCAACATTGCACATTCACAGTTGCAAAATTTTGAAAGCATCTAATAAATCTGATTTCCAATGAAAGACTAACTACACATGTCAATCATTCTAATGACACGCCCATGCAATAAAAACACCACTGGGCGGAACCAACAAATCAGACAAACAGTGCACTACATCAATCAGAAATACTACACTACGTGTAGACCCATCCCTCATACACTACCACTAGACCCACGCACACTGGTACTAGACACATCCAAAATACACTACAACTACACACACACCCAATACACTACCAGTAGAAACACCGACATACACTCCCACTGGAAACACAAATACACTACCACTATGTACTTTACCACTACATACCAAACCACTATATAATTTACCACTACACACACAACCACTATATAATTTACCACTACTCACACGACATACCAAACCACTATATAATTTACCACTACACACACGACATACCAAACCACTATATAATTTACCACTACACACATGACATACCAAACCACTATATGATTTACCACTACATACACGACATACCAAACCACTACATAATTTACCACTACACACACGACATACCAAACCACTATATAATTTACCCCTACACACACGACATACCAAACCACTATATGATTTAACACTACATACACGACATACCAAACCACTACATAATTTACAACTACACACATGACATACCAAACCACTACATAATTTAACACTACATACACGACATACCAAACCACTATATAATTTCCCACTACACACACGACATACCAAACCACTACATAATTTACCACTACACACACGACATACCAAACCACTATATGATTTACCACTACATACACAACCACTATATTATTTACCACTACATACACGAAATACCAAACCACTATATAAATTACCACAACACACACAACTACTATATAATTTACCACTACATACACGACACACCAAACCACTATATAATTTACCACCTCACACACAACTAATATATAATTTACCACTACATACACGACATACCAAACCACTATATAATTAACCACCTCACACACAACTAATATATAATTTACCACTACATACACGACATACCAAACCACTACATAATTTACCACTACATACCAAACCACTATATAATTTACCACTACACACACGAAATACCAAACCACTACATAATTTACCACTACATACACGACATACCAATCCACTATATAATTTACCCCTACACACACGACATACCAAACCACTACATGATTTACCACTACATACACGACATACCAATCCACTATATAATTTACCCCTACACACACGACATACCAAACCACTATATAATTTACCACTACACACACGACATACCAAACCACTATATAATTTAACACTACACACACAACATACCAAACCACTATATAATTTAACAATACACACACAACATACCAAACCACTATATAATTTACCACCTCACACACAACTAATTTTCTACTATATAATCTACCACTATGCACAACTAATGTTTCACTATATAATTACCATCACACACAACTAATATACCACTATATAATTTACCACATCACACACAACTAATATACCACTATATAATTTACCACATCACACACGACTGATTTACAACTATACACATGACTGCTTTACCACTACATCCATGACTACTTCATACATGACTACTTTGCCACTATATACTGTCCTACTACATACCCAATGCATTACCGGACACAATAAATACAAACTGGACCCACCCTTATATCACAACCCCTACATTGTCAGTGCTGGAGAATGAAACAAGATTATAAAAATGAATAGAGCACCATGTTGATTTTTTTCTATTTATTAAAGTGATTTGTGTTGTGATGGCAGACTTCGTTATTTTTTTATAAATCACTACTTAACAAATTTTGCAGATTCTGTTGAGATTGTGATGTTTTAATTTTGCTTTTAAGTTATTAAATTAGTATGTTTGAACTTGATTTGAAATATTCCACCCGACAAAACCTTCATAACGAAATTATATTTATACTGCCCATCAATCACTAAATAGAGGTCTATCTTGTATACATCTATTTTATGTTTATTTTGTATATTTCCAAGTGTCAATCGTATACGTCTACATGTTTTCTATATAAAATATCCTTCCTGTATGTGTCAATATACCTTTCCTGTATGTGTCCAAGTGTCTATCTTGTATGTGTCCGAGTTTCTATCTTGTATGTGTCCAAGTGTCTATCTTGTATGTGTCCAAGTGTCTATCTTGTATGTGTCTGAGTCTCTATTTTGTATGTGTCCAAGTGTCTATCTTGTATGTGTCCAAGTGTCTATCTTGTATGTGTCCAAGTGTCTATCTTGTAAGAGTTGGAGTGTCTATATCTTGTAGGTGTCCAAGTGTCTATATTATATGATTCCATGTCTTTGTTTAAAAGTGTTTGTTTTGAATGTGGCAGTTTCTATATTGTATGTGTCCAAGTATCTATTGTGTATGTATGTAGGACTAATGTCACTCTAAGTCCCACTTTTTTGTCCTCCTGGCCTCCTTCAAGGGCGAAAATCAACGGTTGTTTCAGGAGGCTGAAATATTGGGACTTAGAGTGACATTTGTTCTATATTTTTTTTATCTTTTTCCCTTTGGAAATCATCTGTTGATTATTATAATGTCTGTTTTGAATTTCAAAGTTTCTGTATTTTATGTGTCCAAGTGTCCATAATGTATGTGTCCAAGTGTCCATAATGTATGTGTCAAAGTGTTCAGAATGTATCTGTCAAAGTGTCCAGAATGTATGTGTCAAAGTGTCCATAATGTATGTGTCAAAGTGTCCATAATGTATGTGTCCAAAATGTATGTGTCAAAGTGTCCATAATGTATGTGTCCAAAATGTATGTGTCAAAGTGTCCATAATGTATGTGTCAAAGTGACCATAATGTATGTGTCAAAGTGTCTATAATGTATGTGTCTCAGTGTCCATAATGTATGTGTCCAAGTGTCCATAATGTATGTGTGAAAGTGTCCATAATGTATGTGTCCAAAATGTATGTGTCAAAGTGTCCATAATGTATGTGTCTAAGTGTCCATAATGTATGTGTCCAAGTGTCTATAATGTATGTGTCCAAGTGTCCATAATGTGTGTGTCCAAGTGTCCATAATGTATGTGTCGAAGTGTCCATAATGTATGTGTCAAAGTGTCCATAATCTATAATGTATGTGTCTCAGTGTCCATAATGTATGTGTCCAAAATGTATGTGTCATGTGTCTAAGTGTCCATAATGTATGTCTCCAAGTGTCCATAATGTATGTGCCGAAGTGTCCATAATGTATGTGTTATGTGTCAAAGTGTCTATAATGTATGTGTCCAAGTATCCATAATGTGTGTGTCCAAGTGTCCATAATGAATGTGTCAAAGTGTCCATAATTTATGTGTCCAAGTGTTCATAATGTATGTGTCCAAGTGCCCATAATGTATGTGTCCAAGTTTCCATAATGTATGTGTCTAAGGGTCCATAATGTATGTATCCAAGGGTCCATAATGTATGTGTCCAAGGGTCCATAATGTATGTGTCCAAGGGTCCATAATGTATGTGTCAATGTGTCCATAATGTATGTGTCATAATGTGTGTGTCCAAGTGTCCATAATGCTATCTTGTATGTGTCCAAGTGGCTATCTTGTATGTGTCTAAGTCTCTATCTTGTATGTGTCCAAGTGTCTATAATGTCTGTGTCCAAGTGTCCATAATGAATGTGTCAAAGTGTCCATAATCTATAATGTATGTGTCTCAGTGTTCATAATGTATGTGTCAAAGTGTACATAATGTATGTGTCAAAGTGTCTATAATGTATGTGTCTCAGTGTTCATAATGTATGTGTCCAAGTGGCCATAATGTATGTGTCTAAGTGACCATAATGTATGTGTCCAAGTGCCCATAATGTATGTGTCTAAGTGTCCAGAATGTATGTATCCAAGTGTCCATACTGGATGTGTCAAAGTGTCCATAATTTATGTGTCCAAGTGTCCATAACGTATGTGTCAAAGTGTCCATAGTGTATGTGTCCAAGTGTCCATTCTTGTTTGTGTCCGAGTTTCTATCTTGTTTGTGTCCAAGTGTCTATCTTGTATGGGTCCAAGTGTCTATCTTGTATGGGTCCAAGTGTCTATCTTGTATGGGTCCAAGTGTCTATCTTGTATGTGTCTGAGTCTCTATCTTGTATGTGTCCAAGTGGCTATCTTGTATGTGTCTAAGTCTCTATCTTGTATGTGTCCAAGTGGCTATCTTGTATGTGTCTAAGTCTCTATCTTGTAGTGTCCAAGTCTCTATCTTGTATGTGTCCAAGTGGCTATCTTGTATGTGTCTAAGTCTCTATCTTGTAGTGTCCAAGTCTCTATCTTGTATGTGTCCAAGTGTCTATAATGTCTGTGTCCAAGTGTCCATAATGAATGTGTCTAAGTGTCCATAATGAATGTGTCTAAGTGTCCATAATGAAGGTATCCAAGTGTCCATAATGTACGTGTCAAAGTGTCCATAATGTATGCGTCAAAGTGTCCATAATGTATTTTTCTAAGTGTCCATAATGTATGTCTCCAAGTGTCCATAATGTATGGGTCAAAGGGTCCATAATGTATGTGTCAAATTGTCCATAATGTATGTGTCCAAGTATCCATAATGTGTGTGTCCAAGTGTCCATAATGGATGTGTCCAAGTGTCCATAATGGATGTGTCAAAGTGTCCATAATGTATTTGTCCAAGTGTCCATAATGTAAGTGTCCAAGTGTCCATAATGTATGGGTCAAAGGGTCCATAATGTATGTGTCAAATTGTCCATAATGTATGTGTCCATAATGTATGTGTCATAATGTGTGTGTCCAAGTGTCCATAATGCTATCTTGTATGTGTCCAAGTGTCTATAATGTATGTGTCCAAAATGTATGTGTCGAAGTGTCCATAATGTATGTGTTATGTGTCAAAGTGTCTATAATGTATGTGTCTCAGTGTCCATAAGGTATGTGTCCAAGTGTCCATAATGCTATCTTGTATGTGTCCAAGTGGCTATCTTGTATGTGTCTAAGTCTCTATCTTGTAGTGTCCAAGTCTCTATCTTGTATGTGTCCAAGTGTCTATCTTGTATGGGTCCAAGTGTCTATCTTGTATGTGTCCAAGTGTCTATCTAGTATGTGTCCAAGTGTCTATAATGTATGTGTCCAAAATGTATGTGACAAAGTGTCCAAAATGTATGTGTCCAGGTGTCCATAATGTATGTGTCCAAGTGACCATAATGTATGTGTCCAAGTGTCCATAATGTATGTGTCCAAGTGTCAATAATGTATGTGTCAAAGTGTTCAGAATGTATGTGTCCAAGTGTCTATTCTGATTGTCAAAATGCTTGTATTTCAAGTGTCTTTATAGCTTGTGTCCAAGTGTCTAAAGCGTCCACCTTAAAAGTATCTTGTACTCTACTGTTGCTGAACATTATTAAGGAAAATGGTGCATTATTTAACAGGCCTGATAAAATATCTATAGAAAAAGCACTTTGATACAAAAGCTGAAAAAAAAGAAAGTTTGTAAGTGGTTTGTTTTTAAAAAAGCAGAAATAAATGTTCGATACACACGGCCAACACGAATACACACGATATATACGTCAACACGGTTATAGACTTAAACATGTACAGCCCTAACCCTTTCACCATCTCAGGGGCAGATAATTACGATACAGGTGAGTTATGTCCCTTATCCAAATACCATAGTTACGTAATAAGTCACTTACAACACACCGTTCTCATGAAATCAACTGTCAAGAAAGAACATCATACAGACATATAAAACACTAGTGCTCCTTAGACCTGGGCACACCGGAAATATTGGAGTATCATGTATTACCAGTGCATTACCTAGGGACAACAGATTTGTCTCCCGAGTTTACATTTAATTGAATCCAGATAATGTTTTATATACTGAAGTTTTAGTATAATCAATGTTTTTTTTAAAATTTAAAAAGTACATTTTTTTTCTACTTAGGAATTTTTCACCTTCAAATTTCAAGATAAATATTACAAAAAAAAACCCAACAGAGACATTTTACGTAGTAATATACATCGATAAAAATTAGCATAGAGTCTGGGAGACCAGATTATCATCTGTAATTCACATTTTGAAATTCTACATCTACATAGGCCATAACCGCAGCCATAGAAGAAAGCTGAGGGCGATTCGGGTCATGTAGCTTCCCTGTTTGGTTAAAATTTGCATTGTAAAATATTCATTCTGATAAATTTGCACACTTTCTAAGGGGTGATGAGGTGGTGTGCAAATTTCAGATTTCATTTTTTAAAAATTTCAAACATCACATTTCACATTTGTTTTAAAAACACAAGGGCTGCAAAAAAAATCAATACAAAAAAAATCAACTTCAAGTTGCATAAAAAATGACTAAATAACACTACCATGCTTGTTAAAAAAATATATGAAACAGCAAATGATTTTAAACATTTCTTGATATGAACACTACAGTACAAGTTTCAAACTATCAAGAAAGAAATAGGACACCCAAAGACCTATTGCAGCTCACCTGATATTTTTTTTCATTACAGTATTTTTATTTTTAAGCTTTTTTTTTTTACTTACTGGTACTAAAAACTATGCTTAGCTGACATTGAACTTTAACATTCAGACTTGATCAATTAAATTGCACCTACTCCTATCCCCAAAATTTTGGAACACCATGCAATCTTGCAATGTATTCTTATCTTAATATTACTAATGTAGTAATGCCATAGTTATTAAATCGATTTCGGCTCTGTCCGTTTTTGAAAAAAACTCAAATATGAAAGAGGTGTCAATAGATGACGAATGCAAAACCATGGTATAAGATCACTCAGCCCAATTAATGGGGCAACTGAAAAAACCCATTCATGATGAAAATTAGGTGAGGATATAATTTGGGAAATGATGCCACTTAATTAGACAAGACATATTTTGACAAAAGTGGTGATTTAAACTCATTGTATTTTTTAGACTGTTTTTATTCTCTTTTTTTCCCATTCAAATTAGCAATATTTCAATGAGAAAATAATCTGAAGTTTTAAGTGAATGAAAATTGGTATGTTCTTGCACTAAGAGAAATTAAATGATTAGTAACTAAATAAGATTTTTTTTCTATTATTATATAAGAAGTGAAAGAGAATTGTTAGTTATTAAATATAGAAATAAACTTTCTCGTATCCATTCAAAGTAAATTGGTTACTTAATAATAATGTTTTTCTAACACTAAGCAAAAATAAAAAAAATCAGTTATTAATAAGGATAAATTTCTCACACTTACAAATGTTTCAGTTTCCAGGGTACGAAATAAGGATATTTTTTGAAGAATATTTTCCTGAAGAAATTAGGGACAAGACAGGGAGGTGAACGTGGCTCAAATTAAAGAAAACAAAATCGTGAGATGATAGCAGTTTGTTGTGTGGGATTGTCATAGGACGTACCGAGTGTTCGCGCCTGGACTGTTTCACTGTAGGTTCCGTCACCGTATTGGTTGCGTGCGAGGACTTTCATCTGGTAGAGGGAGTCGGGCTGAAGCATGTACACGGTAAAACTGGTGGCGTTTTGGGGTTCCACGCGCATCGTCTGCCATTGAGTCGTCTGGCCGGTCATACTGTTTACTGTTCTGTACCTAAAATATACACAACAACACAATGACATTAAAATACCATAATTGATGTTATAAAGGGCACATGCTCTAATGAAGGCACACCAAGAATTTCGAAAATATTTCTAGAATTTGTAAAATTTACGATTTTTTTCTGTCGCAGATATCATAAAAGTTGTGTGTTTTTTTTGGCAGGGTTCTAGTTTTCATGATGTTATAAAGGGCACATGCTCTAATGAAGGCACACCAAGAATTTTGAAAATATTTCTAGAATTTGTAAAATTTACGATTTTTTTCTGTCGCAGATATCATAAAAGTTGTGTGGTTTTTTTTGGCAGGGTTCTAGTTTTCATGATTTTTATGCGATAACAATTTTTCCACAAAAAATGTGTGGTGCAAAATTAACAGCAAATTACTCCATCTTTACCGTAGCTCTGTGTGTCCTGCCCAGTAGATCCTGCAAAGCTGATCATTTTTACAAATCCAGGGAAATAAGTTGCAGCAAAAATATCATTTTTTACAGTATTGTAATCTCTGGCGGTTGTTGAATTAGAATTATTAATTAGACAACTTCTGCCAGCAGTCTAGACAATGATTGAAATTAAACAGAAACAAAGATGCCATGTGGAACATTGTCTGCTGATATATTTTCACTTGGGAATTTAACCTTTAACCCTGTGCAACTTTAGTAGACTCTACCATGCTTTGATCTGGATGAGTCCATTATGGTCTACAGTGGTGAAAGGATTAACTTGGAACTGGGATAAAAACACCTTCATGTTTCTGCAGCAGTAGTGATAGAGGCAATATATGAACTGTGTTGTTTGAGGAAAAACACGATTAATTAAAGATGTATCGCTTGTAATTTACGGACACCTGATGCCCTTATTAGGCAAAACCCAGACAGTGATACCCATGTGTTTATCTGGCTATGTAAGGTTCTGATCAGGGGAATACAGCCACGAATGTGAGTGGTATACAAGTGGACTTGTGTGTCTGGGCAATAAATGTGTGCTGTCTGCAATGTTTGAAAAAGACACCTGTGTGATATTTTTTCCCCCAATTATTTATCAGTTTAATTTAAAATTCTCATTTATATACGCCCATCAAATTTGACGAGTATTATGGTATGGCGTCGTCTTTCCGGGGTAAACTTTTGTTTGTCCGGCAATCTCCTCCTACATTTTTCAACCGATCTTTTTCAAACTTGGCATACATTATAATCATGATATGGAGTTGTGTCTCCCTTAAAAGAATTTTGATTCAACAATTTTTCTTTTCAAAAGTTATTGTCCTTTGTTCATTTCAGTATTTGATTTTTTGTCCGGAGATCTCCTCCTACATTTTTTGACGGATTTCTTTGAAACTTAGTAGGCTCAATAATCATGATATGTTGTTGTGTTTCCATGAAGAGATTTTTGATTCGATAATTTTTGCAAAAGGTATTTCCCATTGTTTATTTCAGTATTTGATTTTTGTCCGGCAATCTTCTCCTACATTTTTCGACCGATCTCTTTGAAACTTGGTATACATTATAATAATGATATGAAGTTGTGTTTCCCTTAACAGAATTTCGATTCAACGATTTTTGTTTAAGTTCTTGCCCTTTGTTCATTTCAGTATTTGATTTTTTGTCCAGAGATTTTCTCCTACATTTTTTATAGCATGTCAGCTAACCACTCTTAGAATGATGCAGATCTTATTTCAATGTAAGAAAGTATATATATGCAAGACCACACACTTGTGTTTTTCTAACGAATCAGAAAGCACTCATTTATTGCGCGGACGAACAAGTGTGTGGTCTTGCTTTTATCACATTACTTCCGTATCTGGTAGAGATTGATACAAAGATTTTATAAACTTTGATATTTTTTGCAAATACCGGGAACTTTTCAGTTCGCCATGACAAGGGGATTCCCCTAAAATGTAGTTCCGGCTAGTAGGTAAATACAACATTCCGTATTGGACATGTGCAATACAGAACGTTGTATTTCATGGTCTGAAAATTGCTTGTATTACTATAACAAGATTCAACAGGTATTTGATAAAACACTATATGGCATTCCATGGGTGTATATTGTTCCGCCCCGCGGTACTTTTGTTTAAAAAAATTCTTATATGAAAAATTCATTATAGACCGTTCTCATTAACTTTATCAAGCTTCGAGTCCCGAAGGTATGCAATCACCCACGTTATAACACTTACCTCAAACCAAACAAACAGACCTACTTTGAACTTCCTCCTAAAATCAATTTCATCACCATTCAAATAATGATTTTATTTCATTTTTTTCCCAGTTGTAATGAGTATTTAATTTATTAGTCGCTGAAATTAGTGATCCACAAACTTTGCACCCGAGATGTAATGTCTGACCTTTATTGATGTTGTTTAATGAGAAGAGGAGACCGTTATGATTCAAAGATGACAGAAGTCCCACACAGTATATATTAAAAGCAGGTAAATTTTATAACTATACTTTATCATACATGTTATGTAAGGCAAATCACTATTTTTGTTTCAAAAAATTTGGATTAAGGTGTAGAATTTTTTATTTTGTTTTATTTTAATAATGTTTCTCATTTATTTCTTTATTTTTTACCCTTTCACCCCTACGTAACTTTAGTAGACTCCATCATGCATTGATATGGATGAGTCCATTATGGTCTACAGTGGTGATAGGATTAAATACCTAAATTTATCTGGTAATAAGCTCATGAGCAGGTAAGTTACGAGCACTTGAAGGTTCTAATCGGAATTTGGACCTATCTATTTGAGTCTAATGAAGAGCACCTTTAGAAAAAAGTATTTATAAGTATCGTTTTTCAGCAGAAAGGCTATTTCATTATCCTGTAATGATGATCTGGTGACAAGGTGGATAGCGCACTTGCCTTTCACCAGGGCAGCTGGGGTTGGATTCCCCGATCGGATGTGAAAAGGTATGGGGTTACCTGCCCGGCCACATGGGTTTTCTCCATGTACTCAGGTTTTCTCCCATAGTAAACCCCCCCCCCCCCCCCCCCCTCCACACACACACGCTAACATCCGAGCCAACAAAGGTGATTAATATAAGTTGTAAAAACTTGTTTCATAATTGTTGTAAAATCAATAAAGGTTATACATATACTGTATTATCCTGTATAAACTCGCCCCTTGATTTAAATAGAAGTTTCTATGTTTGCTACCCTGGGCTTATTGCAGGATAAACACGGTACAGACATATAAAAATACATTCATATTTGAGGCCAAATGAATATTTGTATCTGTTTTCTATGTTCTACGAAAAATATGGGTCGTAATACAGCTGTTGCAGATCACCAGTGACTACATAGGTCAATTGGTTAAAATGTCTGTTTAGCATTCAGAGGTCCGGGGTTCGAATCCTGATCTAGCCCGATCTCATTTTCCCTATCCTGTTATGTGGTGCCATGGCAAGCTTTATTATTTTTCAAATCAATTTAAAATCACAAATCAGTAAATATTGCATTTACGTCCTATATATCTCAATTGAACACAGATTTTTCTGCTTGCTTGGCCTAGCGGTTTAGTGTCATGATGGATAAGAGTTCTATGATCATTCACATATAAATCCATCCGTCACTATCGCTTATCGACGCAACTTATGATAGGATACGTCGAGAACGTAGGTAACAATAATGACGTAGGTTTTATCAGTAATAACGACAGTGTGATGTCGGTAAAGAATCTGATATAACCCATGTTTGATGGATGTGCACTGCTTAAATCAATATATAATCAGAGAAGCACGGGTGACAGTGCAGACACTATCATTTGTCAACTCTTCCAGGCTACCCTCCTCTTGCAAAGACACAAACATTAAACAACATTTTGCCTCTGTCAATATTCTTTCTTTAGTCAATATCCGAGCATATTCTCCAGGTAAAAAGTCCATGATTGTATATAATTGCACAAATATGGCTTCTCCATACTTATACTACAGTAGACTATTATAGGCCAAGTAAGTGTGATGGGGTGGGTTATAATAGTAGTATATTAATGTAGACTAGTGATGGGGTGGGTTATAATAGTAGTATATTAATGTAGACCAGTGTGATGGGGTGGGTTATAATAGTAGTATATTAATGTAGACCAGTGTGATGGGGTGGGTTATAATAGTAGTATATTAATGTAGACCAGTGTGATGGGGTGGGTTATAATAGTAGTATATTAATGTAGTCTAGTGTGATTGATGTGAGGGTTACACTACACAGTAGCCTGCTGTAGGCGGGGCTTGATGATGCAGGGGGTGTTAGAACAATACTGTAACCTGTTATAGACAACGTAAGTGTGTTTAAAGGGGCAAGTGTGGTGTGGGAGTGTGTTACTCCAGATTGTTGTAGGTGGGGCTAACTTCACTTGATGATTGGGAGGGGGGAAACCTAGAGGGTTTGAACGGGGTAGTTGTTGTTACCATATAAAATAGTACTGCGGACTTCCTCCGTTGTAGGCTGGAATCCATCGGAGGGTGGCCTCAAACCATTTGGTAGATACTGTAACATTGTAAGGCGCATGTGGTGTTGTCACTGGAAAGAGATGGAGACGTTTATGAAAATACATCGAGACTAAAGATAAAATGTTGTTGTCTAGAGCTGCAGGTAATAGAAGTCAGCTTCTCAGCTGAAAAAATCAAACTCAAAGTGATGTTAACCCATGTTTCACCTCTGATGAAGTAAATAATGAATTTTTCATCCCTCAGAAATTTGTTTTCTATATTTTCAGTCTATGCATGACAAGAGTACATCTCAGCAAAATCATAATTATGCAAATTGTCTTACAAATATTTGTAATATGATTAATTTGTGTGTGTGATAGACAGGATCCAGTTATCTGTATGGATGACCCAGATACATATTGATTAAGAAGACATGACCCAAATACATATTAATTAAGAAGACATGACCCAAATACACATAAAGTAGAGATGCATATTAATGAGAAATGACCCAGATACATACTAATTCAGTAAAGATGACTTAGATACATACTAATTGTATCTGTATAAATAGGGATGACCCAAATCCTTATTGATTTAAGTAAAGATGACCTAGATACATTTTTTAAACAATTATTTCTGTAGAGATGACCTAGATACATACTTTGAAGATACATACTTTGCATAAATACTTCTGTGGAATTGATCAAGATACATACTTTGTATAATTATTTCTGTAGAGATGACCCAGATACATACTTTGTATAATTAATTCTGTGGAAATGACCTAGATACATACTTAATATAATTAATTCTGTGGAGATGATCTAGATACATACTTTGCATAATTAATTTTGTGGAGATGACCTAGATACATATACTTTGTATAATTAATTCTGTGGAGATGATCTAGATACAAACTTTGTATAATTAATTCTGTGGAGATGACCTAGATACATACTTTGTATAATTAATTCTGTGGAGATGACCTAGATACATACTTTGTATAATTAGTTCTGTGGTGATGACCATTCTAGCTACAGAGTTTTCCGCCTCACACTCGTATCTCCCATGATCCCCCTTGTCAAGGTTTCTTATTGTGAGGTTTCCTCCTATTAGCTGTATTCGAGACGCGAAAGTGAGTTGCCCCCCAACTTTGCGCCAGTGTATATTTGGGGGCGGAGAACCCGTAGCAGCACACGGCAACATAACATCATCTCCTGGGATCTGGATGTAGCGCTCCGACGGCCGGAGAGTGAACTGGGGTGGGTCTGGAAAATAAACAGGACAATGTCATTTGTATTAGTTCCATATCAAGAAGATAGATTAAGATTAAATATTAGGAAATCAAACTGAATTTCATGAAAATTTTGCTTTGAGTAACTGTTGGATTCCTGAAGCATGTATGATTAAATAGTTTGAGAATGCAAAATTGTAAAGAGAAAAAGAGAAAAATACCAATTTTATATTTATAGTAAACTGATTACACTCAAGAAAATCAAAATCGCTAGATAATGATTGGTGAACAAGGCTTAACCAGTCCATATATACCACCGATAACTGACAAGCAATAACAATTACCAGTGATTATTTTAGATTTTGGAATATCAGTAATGAAATGGTAAACATGTATGAAATCAAACAAATATCAGTTACCGTCAAGCATGAGCAAAAATAGACAAACAGAACTTTAATTACATCCTGTAAAATCTTTCAAATAGCTTATATGTGTGCTTTCTGAATAATGCAGTGTTATATTGTGGCAATGTTATTTAGTGGTAGTGTTATATAGTGTTATGTTATTAGTGGCCGTGTTATATAGTGGCAGTGTTATGTTATAAGTGGTGTCTTTATAAATGGCGGTAAATATAAGGGAGGTAACCTGGAATCTGACCTCGAACTGTCACTTGGACGAGTTTGGATGTCTCTCCGCTCCCGAGCGGACTGACGGGCTGGCAGCTGTAACTTCCCGCATCTGATTGGCTGACTTTGTATATCAGTAATGTACCATTGGCCAATAGGGTGATCCGTTCAGGGTGGACGGCCACCATAAAGTTATTTTTAGTCCAGATGTACTCGCTGACCGCTGGATTAGCTTCCACTGGACAGTCCAGCTGTGCCTGGAGGCCGAGCGCCCAGGTGACAACACTCGGCATAGAGAGTACTTTGGGCAGATCTGAGAAGGAAGAATATAATAATAATAATTTGAGGTTCTTATATACCGATTTAACAAAATCTAGTTTGTAGTCTCAAAGCAGTTCACAAATTATTATCCGTAGTTATAGGGCCTTTGCAACCACCCAATACCTTTCTCAACTCCCTGGGAAACATAGCCGGTGCTGCCATTTTGGAGCTCACAGCTAGCATTCAACAATTCTAGCACTGCCCAACCACCTATTCATTTACAGCTGAGTAGACTGGAACAAGCTGAGTTAAGTATCTTGTTCAAAGATACAACACAGTGCCGTGATGTGACTCGAACCTGCAACCCTTCGGTCACGAGCTCGGCGTCCTACCACTAGAATATATGACATATCATATCAAAAAGAAACCAGGAATATTTCTTACAACAAAGCTAAATAAAAAGTAAAAGAAGAGTATCACTATTATGAACGAAACCATTAATTTCTTTATCTGAAATAGTTGTTTATTTTTAAGGATTCCTGTCTATCTGCAAGTGAAACACTGTAGAATTACATAGTGGTTGGTATACATGCCATCAATATTTTATTGTATGGGTCATACAAACATCTCAAGTAAAAATATTTATCAAGAAAAGCATTGGATGTTTTGCCATAAAAGTGTGTTCTGTAAGCAGGAAATGAAATATTTGATTATAAAAAACACCAGGACGTCTTTTTTCATATCTGAAAACAAATTCCCATTATTGCCCACATGTTCCATGAACAGTACAAAGTTGAATACCTACCCCTATGGCAATTCTAGCCTAGACTTACATGTTACATTGAGGTAGGCTGGTGCCTCTGGATCCCTCCCTACGCCGTTCGTCGGCCGACAGATATACCACCCCATATCGTCCTTCTCCACCGGAGAAATGACAAGCTCCCCAGTGGTCTTGATTTGTACTCTCCCCGTTTTGAATGCCCGCATCGTGACCACATCCTGGTTTTTAAAGAACCAGTGGTACGTGATGTTGGTAGGGAAGGCGTCGGCTCCACATGTAAATACGATTCTTTGACCGGAGATGGCAGTGGTGTTGACTGGTGCGGTCAGGATATAGGCTGCTCCTGTAAAAAAAACATTTACAGTCAGGATATAGGCTGCTCCTGTAAACAAAAAACATTTACAGTCAGGATATAGGCTGCTGTTGTAAACAAAAACATTTACGGTCAGGATATAGGCTGCTCCTGTAAACAAAAACATTTACGATCAGGATATAGGCTGCCTTGAAAAAAACCACATTTACATATATTTACAACCGCTCCTTTTACACAGATAGATATATTTCATACAGAAAAGAGTTCCAAATCCAGCTTGTTTGCCTTCAGAATCATAGACATAGCTTGACCTTGTTTTAGCATTATATTATACAACATTTGTTAAGTGCACAATCTAATCGCATGGAAATTAATTGAAGTACAGAAACTGAGATACAAATTCCAGATAATAGAATACAGTGAACCCTTGATATAATGCCCCTCATTTATTTGTCACCTCGTTTACCGCCAACATATTTCAATGTCCCGTTTTCTCGTTTTTTTATGAATTCCTTATACATTTCTCTTAACTCATTCACCCCTGAAATTTCAAAATGAACTATACAAACCTTTGATTTGGGAGAGTTCAAATGTGTCTCCAGGTGTGATTGAGTTAATTTATCGCCAAACCCCTTTATAACGCCAAATTTACTCTTGAACAAATGGTGGCAGTGTAACAAGGTTTTACTGCACTCCACACCATGCATTAAGTAAGATTTTTTCCTCAACGACACATATGCGACCCCAACCCACTGCCTGTAGGAATCCTACCTAGGACTTCGTAAATAAGCTGATAGAATTCCAAATGTGCAATGTGGCTGTGACTAGCGCTGGTCTAATGCGCTTATAAACAAATTGTGGAAGGGTAGAAGTCACAATACTTCAAGCAGTTCAGCTAGCTAGGGTTTGATCTGTAGGCAGGGAATCCCTGTAGTAGTATGCAGTGGGATAATAATCTAATGGCCGTGGGCTTATAACCCCGTCAACACATTTAATCACGAAGACACTATCTATAAACTCTCGGGCTGAATTCTCATAAAATAAAGGTTAAATCCAATATAAATCAACCGCGGACACTATAGAAACGGAACGGTGCTATAAATCTATTTCACAGGTCTTGCAAAAAAACAACTTTAATAAATTAATTATATAATCAGTAATGCGAATTGTACTATAACAATAGATTGCAGTAATGTACTGTTGTGAGGCAATAGGTAGATAACAATGGCGCCAATATCGTGATAATCTCGGCTCCGAGCCCCATACATCGCGTAAACTCATTACCAGACAGAGCAAGTGACAACCGCGATAGAGACCCTCCCTGGCTCAGAGACCTATGTTGTATGCAAATTCCTGTTTTCACAGCTAATAGGTACTCTACAAGATAAGCACTGGCGTAGACTTTGTTCAAAAGCCAGGTTTGGGTCTTGCCAAGAGTTTTGTTCCCGAGCAGACGGGCAGAGACGATTACTTCCTGTTTAGCAGACGTGAAAAAAATCTGAATCGCAGTCCCGGTGATAGAATCGACATGATCTTTTTATTGTTGCTCAAGGATCAATAAAAAGGAGTAGCCGGATTTCATTGGAGGAAGTCGACAGCCAAGTTTGTTTCTTTGTGCATGTTAATAGGCAAAGGGGAATAACTCGTCCCAAAAACCCTTCAGTATTATTCCTAGGATAGTGGCCACTGGGTTTACTTACATCTGCATTATTAAAGAAAAATCCTAAATATCACATATCAGTTTTTAACTCATTCACCCCTGAAGACACGTTTGAACTCCTCGAATTAAAAGGTTGGAATAGTTCATTATGGAATTTCAGGGGTGAATGAGTTCATTATAGCGCTAAACCAGACTTTGTTTCTCTTTCTGTAACCTGGTTTCATCAACACATTTTTTTCAGAAAAATCCTAAAATGTTTCAAATCAGCTTAAAAATATGGCCCCGAAACAGAAGTTTCAAAGATTAGAATGATGAAATTCCAACAAATGGTATTTCGTTGTCCTGACGTAAGCCCATCCCCCTTTCTTGTGTTGGATGTGTTCAGGCCCCATTGGCATTTTGCATGTAATTTAAAGGAATTGACAAATATATCATGAAAATTGAAATGAACATGGTGATAGTTGTTTGTTATAACACATACATAATTCCAGTAATAACAGTTGTTTAAGACATGTAAACTCGACGATATCTGACTTTCAAAATTTTGAAAAACGTAAAAAAAATATTGATTCAAGTATTTATGTTTATATTTTCTGAAGTTGAGCGTTTTGAATCCTCGGACAAATAAATGTTCTTTTTCCGGTTTTAATTTTATCAATTTAAATTTTAACTGAATTTGACTTCTGTATTAGGTCTTCAGGTTTGTTTTAAAATCTGTATGTAGTTCTAACGGCCCACCTAGAGGGCTTCAACATATATGAGCTGGATTTAAGTTGCCGCAACTCTTCATTTGATTTTGTCGGATCATCTCTTCTTTTGAAATTGTTCATTCCTTTGAAGCTTAAAACAAATGATTAGTCCTCGACACCGACACAAATACTGTGTTCCTTAGAAAAAATAGTTTTTACGACATTTAACTTCGTTTATTCTGAACACAGGCATATATCTGCCTCTATATTCAGATCATAGTCCATATTTATTTAATCATAATAAATAACAATGTTTTTGATGTGATGTCACTCCAGTGCTATTGTGAATCTCCTTTAATCTCCCAAAATGTATCAATGCGGTTTTCGAAATTAAAAGATTTGGTGCTTGAATGACATTCTCAGGTAGGAAATTCTAGTTGCTAACAATTCGTTAAGTAAATGAGTATTTCCTAACGTCCAGTCTGCTCCTTGATTTATCCAGACTGAGTGAGTGTCCTCGAGTCCTTTTATCTTTGATGATGATTATTCTGCTACTTTTTCGTTATTTTGTTTTGTTTTTTTGTGGTCTATCAAGGCTGAAACTGATAACAAATATTGACCTTCTGCAAAAATCTTTGAAACGATCTACATAGGAACTCTTCAATGAAATGAGCGGCCATAAATTATGTTCAATTGTCAATATGCTGCAAGTCATTTGTCGACGTAATTTGTGTAGAACGAGACTGAGTTCAGGTCTAGTATTTGGATCAATTTCTTGATGAAAAGGTTCGGTCAGAAATCAACAATGAACAAGAGAGTAGAAAACAGAATGGCACTGATTTATGAAACTCACTAACGTTATTTGCACTAAATATCCTGATCAGTCAATAATCCTTGATTGAAATGTATGGTTAGAAACCATGCAATCATGATAATAAAAATGGAAAAGAGCATATCGGCATTTGTCAATATTTTGAAAGTCAGCAATATCATTTGTACAAATAAAAAGCAGATGAGTTTACGAATATTCGGATCAATCAAAAAGATCTTTTACTATAGGAATCATGTAACCCGGATCGTGGAATTGGAAACAAGCATTTCACCAAAGTGTGCTGTTCTTGTTAACATCGTGATGTTTGGCAATAGCCGCAGTAATGTACAATATGAAACAGATCAGTTCGGCATTCTCTGATCAACTCAAATGCTTCAGTGAAATGCGTGGCCAGGCGCAGATGACAGGAGCAAGATTAGACTTCTTCAATAAATATGTTGACATGCGTATAATAAAATATTGATGTGGTTTCATCCTGAGTATAGAAATAGCTGTGGACACATGTAATGGCCGTCTATATATTAAAGTACACAGACCGGGTCCTATCTTTATTGAATTTCTCCTAAAGTGCACGAATTCAAACGGCATCGCGATACGATTAAGACAGGTTTTCTAGTCTTGGTTTGAGTTTGGTCCTGTATCAATCACGTGTACAATGAAAGTATAATGTGAAGCTCCGGGGATTCATCATGATATTACCGGTATTGGTGCGGACACTATCGGTACAGTAGGGTAAATAGGTGATGGGCTGCGCCGTCCCCGCGGGGGGCCAGGAAATGGGCGATATGGGAAGGCGTCGGGGCAAGGAGCACAATGTAATTGACAAGATGAATTGAAAACTTCGTGGAGGGTGAGAACGGTGATCCAACACAGGCATGTCACAACAAACTGCTGTCATCTAAAAGGCACAATATCAATAAAACGGCAAACTTTCAGTGAGGAGAAGTTGGAGGTTAAAGTACTTAGCCGTGGAGGCAGTATCATATAGGAAACCAACTTTTAAATGATCACCTGTGAAAGTAATAGGCCTCTTACAATAAATGAAACCTGTGAGGCCATGACCTCTTGAGAATGGTGACCTCTGTAAAACCATGACCTCTTGAGAATGGTGACCTTTGTAAGACCATGACCTTTTGAGAATGGTGACCTCTGCTTGACCTTGACCTTTTGTGAATGGTGATCTCTGTTAGTCCATGAACTCTTGTGAATGGTGACCTCTGTTAGTCCAAGAACTCTTGAGAATGGTGACCTCTGCTTGACCTTGACCTTTTGTGAACGGCGACCTCTGTTAGTCCATGAACTCTTGAGAATGGTGACCTCTGTAAAACCATGATGTTTTGTGAATGATGACCTCTGTTAAACCATGACCTTCTGAATATGTTGACCTCTGTTGGACCATGCACCTTTTGAGAATGGTGACCTCTCACACATCCTCTTGAAGACAATGGCCTTTGGAGGATTGTAACCTCCAGCGTTAGGCCTTAGAAGTTTACATTTTGTTTGTTTGTATGAAGGTTTAGTATCCTAGCAACAGCCTAGGTCATTTGAAGAAGGTACCTAAGCAGATATAAGTAGGAAGGGCGAAAATGATACAGATCCTAAGTGTTGTAATGCAGGTCAGTTTCGTTTTTTTTCAATGTCCCCTTCGCAGAAGAAACTGAAGAAAACCACAATTCTACAGTTTGTTTGTGTTTTATGTCCTATTAACAGCTTCGGTCATTCAAGGTTTTGGTGGTAGAGGGAAGCCAAAGTTCCTGAAGAAAACTGCCGACCTACAACCAGTACCTGGCGACTGCCCCACGTAAGCCTCAAATGTGAGACCCAGTGGTGGAGGGCTAGTGGTAGCAGAATGTCAGACGTCTTAACCACTTGGCCACTGTGACCCCTTGGCCCGATTCTACAGGGGCCCCACACGAGTCGCCTCCTATAATAACATACTATGGTATACATCAGACCAATATTTCTTCAAATCTTTAGGGTTTTACAGGGATAGAAAATAAGCAGACCAATACATTTAGAATAGTGGGTTCAGTGAACATGTCCGCTTTGGAGAATGAGAGATGTCTAGGACAATAAACTGCTGAAGTGAAAATCTTATAATTGTGACAGCTTGAGCGACCTTCTAGAGAAAGATGAGTTCAAGAAAAAAAGGACCTCGGGGGGATAATGATGACCCTGAAAAATGGAAACAAATATGTTTGAAAGACTTGGAGTTCTGGAGAATTGATACCGCTGAAGGAATGACCTCTGGAAATATTTGACCTCTGAAGAAAAAATGTATAAATTGCTATGCACAACACATGCACCATAGGACTCAAAACTTCAAACACTTAAACAAAAAATATCCTTTATATAATGTGGGTTTGCACTTGATTTCAAAAAATATTTCGCCCTTAATTGAAATAAATTTTGTGTAAATATTTCTAGTTTTAAGAAATTGCTAAGCAAGCAGGTTCTATTAATTTTTGTCCCATGTAAACAGATATGTGATTTAAATTTATAATTAAGATTGCTCTTTTATTTTCTCTGTATGAAAATGTATTCAAACCTGCTTAAACCAACCCCTGAATATTCTGACATCCCATCTAATTTAGTCAGCGTTCAGCTGAAATCATTTCTTAATGAACACTAATCAATAATATCTGTGTATTCTGACATCCTATGTAATCCGACCAATAACTTTACCATAGGGTGTCAGATTAGACAGGTTTCCACGCACAAGGAAAAAAAGGCATTATGGGAATAGTGAAATCGGGAGCTGGTGAAAGGATAAACTGTGACCTTATCATATAAAATGACAATCCGCTCGCACATTGCCTTCAGACCTACCTAGACACTTTTTATTCGCCATATAAAGCAAAAAGAGACTTTCAACAACATGCCTTATACTCCCATGGCAATAAAACCGACGGCGTTTTTTTCTGACCATCTATACATATAAAGTCAACCAAGCAATGGCGAGTCCATTCCGAGCTCTGTTTCTCTCAATCTGTGTGATCTCCGTAAAAAGCCTGACATCCGCAGATTTTTTATTGTAGGAAATTAGCCTGACAAAAAGACTTTACTCGCCTGCCACAGAACCCCATTGTACACCAGACAATAGAAATCTTCCTGTAAACATCAAATCTAAACTGCTGAACTCGGGCATCAGAATCAATATTTAGTTGTTCAGTATTTTTGTTACCTAAATTTTACAACAGTCTGTTCCTTATGAATTGGAAAAAATATAGCATTATTGTATTGAAATTGGGAATATATTCCTCAGTTATTCGTCATTTTGGGAAAATAAGGCACTTTTAAACTACGGAAAACAGCCTGTATTCGGCTGTAAAACAGAGCAAAAAAATATCACTGTGTTTAAATGTACAACATGTTTATTTTGCTGTTTTGTCGTGTAAATTTCAAGTAACAGGTTACATGTTATCAAAATAATAAGTTAGAAAATATTAAAAAATTCATTTGGGATTATTTTTCATCAAATTAAAAAAAAAGCTTGAATAGTTAGAAAAATTATTAGATAAAAAAATCACTCGGGCGTTCTTTTCATGAAATGAGAAAAAATGGCCCAAATAGTAAGGAAATGTTAATCAACTAAAACGTCACTTGGGATTTGTTCCGATCAAATTGGGAAAAATAGCCTGAATGCCATGGGCTATTGTCATGGTCCTGATTTGGCTATGTTAGTTACTGTAAACACATATCATTTAGTGATAATCTAATTTTAGCGCCTTCCTCTGAAGCAGTAATTTATCTACAGTGCAAATTACAAGAGAAAAGTTTTCCACAAATACATCTGTTCATCAGGAAGGGTGAGTATGTTGTTTAAGATTGTGTTGATAGACAGAATGTATGACTTCGTCTTTATTTATATAATGGTCCTGAAGTATGACTGCTGATATATGAATATTTACTATCGTATGGCATTGCCACTATATAACCCTACCAAATTCAGTTGGCATTCATTAGGGCTATGAATGCCATGGACCGATTGTTGGCGTCATCATTATTATGACGTCATAATCGTTACATTGGAAACCACTAACCCTTCCCGGGCGATGGCTGTTCTATTCATTAAACAAGCATACATGATTCATATATTATTTGAACTAAATGCTGAATAATAATAAGTGTTATGGAATTTTCTATGAGATGAATATATTCCAAAAATGGTAAATATGAGAATTGAACTGCTTTCAGTTGGCATTCATAGGCAATATAAATTCAAACTGGACAAAGGCAAATCTAACAAGATGCGCTAGCACGTTTCATTGAATATGTCTATGTCCAGTTTGCAACCATATTGCCTATGAATGCCAACTGAAAGCAGTTCAATGCTTAAATGTAAACATTGTATGGTCATAACAGGAGGAGTATCCCCAAACCTTACCTTCTACGATCAGATCTATCCGCTGAGCCACCTGTCCGAGAGAGTTTCGGAATGTACAGCTATATGAACCCCCATCGGACCGCTCCAGGCTACGAATCGTCAGTTGGGTGCGGTCGGGACTTAACGTGATACGAAGTGAGTTGGTAAGGATCTCTCCATCTTTGGACCATTCTACGAGTGGTTCTGGAGACCCCTCTGCCTGACAGATCAGTGTCACTGTTGCCCCCTGCTGGTGACGTAGTGTACTAGGCGAGCTGTTTGTAATCTTAGGGGGAGCTGAAACGATACAAAAATTACAACAAATGAGAGACAGAATTTAAAAAATAATTTTGATGAAATATTAAATAAAAGCATTAATACATCAACACCTTATACCTAATACAGATATGTTTTTTTTTAATTTCAGAGTTATTTCCCTTATAAGTAATTTAAACTAGCTATGTAGCAGTATACCAAATGGTTCACATTTTCCCGAGAGTTCCTACATATATGTACATTTGTATTCTTGTGTAGAATGAAACCTGTCTAACCTGACACCATGTGGGACATGACATAATAATGGTCGGATTAGACAAGATGTCAGAGCACTCAGTCTCATTTGGTAGTTTTCATTAAAAATGTGATTACTGCATTATGTTGGATTATACATGATGTTGGCAGACTCATAGGGATCAGATGAGACAAGATTTCAGACTACTCAGAGGTCAACTAAGACAAGATGTCATAGTAATCATTTGTTTGTATTTAGACAGAATGTCAAAATACTCAGAGGTCAGATTATACAGGATGTCAGAATATCCATAACCCACTCTAAATTGTACTAAGGTATCTACAGGTTTAACTCATTCACCCCTGAAGTTTCATAATGAACTATCCCAACCTTTGAATTGGAAGAGTTCAAACATGTCTTCCGGGGATGAAGGAGTTAAAAGAAAATGAAACTCTCCTGGAATGGAGGTAAATATGTCACCAAGCGACTTACATGTTCCATCTTCATATGTTGCAAGGACATGTACATTAAACCACAATAAAACAAGACAACAAGGAACAAGCTTTTGTCAGACCTGGACTTCTGAGTGGGACACAGACAACATGGAACAAGCTTTTGTTAGACCTGGACTTCTGAGTGTGACACAATCCCTTTCACAGCACAACATTATCGTACATGACACCTAGAGTTTGTCCCAGTATAAGATGCACGAAGCACTGTATATGGTAGTCAATGATATTAAACTAATGTGCTAAGTTAAAAGGAAAACGAACAAAAAAAAATGAATTCTATAGCGAAACTTTAAACTTATTTAATCCTACACGCTATCCTATAATCAAATTATTTACATTTTGTACAAAAAACCCGAACAAATTAAACCCAAATCTCTCCCCACGAAACCAAATCTATCTAATGCTACAAATGATAAATAATACATTTTCTGTAAAATTCTTTCAGCGTTTATTTCCTTGCGAACATCACCGGATCAATATTGATCTAATCTTCGTGATCAACAGCCTGGCTCCCCATGCCAGAAGATGTACAGCGCGTATGTCTGGGTGACCTTTCAGCTTCGCAACTGTTGCTGAAACTGTGAGCCTCATGTTTATTTGCCTTACAAAAGAGAGAGGACCGATTTCTATGGGATGTTACAAATGTCTGATTTTTTGCCATAACATATATATACAAAATTTGCTAGCGGACAAAACCAGAAATGAGACTTTTACAATATCCAATTCATTGTACTAAAAGTCGCAAATTTATATACGTAGTCACTAGCAGTTGGGAGCACCAAATATATTACTATTACAGTATTACTACTGAAAATATTCCAATTTTTTTTAAATTTCATTTCAAAACACTTTCACTTTTAATTTTTAAGTACCGTAATACAATCCAAACAAATTTTCAGGTTTAAATAAAAAATAATATATATATATAAAAAAAAAAGTAACATCACCCGTTAGATTTTATAGTATTTTATAAGCTAGCCATTAATAAAATCTTCAGCACCATTTCAGAATCATTTGTGCATAATTAATCAAACATTTAAAAATATATTCACTTTTCTTCATTAAGTTCCAGAGAAACGTTTAAAATCACCGCAATGCTGATTCATTTCCCTATAAATATTCAAACATTTACAAAAAAAATCTTTTCTTTCAGACATTACAAGAGAAAGTCTTGAAATGTTTCACTCAAGGACAAGGAGAATTGTCACTTTGATAAAAAAATCTTTAACAAATATCTTCACTAATTCTATTTTACAGAAATTCATCAGAATTATTACAAAGATTACTCCAATCTAAAGTCAAAATCAACCATTTCCTGCAGTTACCGTGGTAACTAAAATCTTCAACAAATACTTTCCAATTATTTATAGTCTGGAGCATTATATGAAATGTTAATTAAAAGAGATTAAATTTTCTATAAGATGTTACCATAGATTTCCCAAATGCTTCCAAAATGTTTTAAAAAGTGAAATTTTGGCGAAAACCCGACAGAGCAATCTTTAACCCAGTGTCATATACAATGTATGTAGCTGTATAGGTTATCTATACGGAGGCAATACGAGAGGAAAATTCTAAATGTGTATTTCAAGTGTGAACACGAATGTGTCAAACAACAAGTTTTTCTAACAGTAACACCGATCGGCTGCTGTTTGTAGTACCAATGCGTTTATGGTGATGTAATGGTAAGTTCCTATGACTGGTGTTGGCCAACTTAGGACCAAAATAAATGCTTGTAGTCATTACAACCTGTCTATTCCAACCCCTGTCTAATCAAGATACCTGTCTATACCAGATATGACATTGAGATGTCAAAGACAACAGATATGACAAATTTAAGCCCCTGAGTTATGTTGCAAACTTGACCAAGGTCAGAGAAAACTTGATTTTCGCGAATAGTTGCACACATTATTTTTTTAATCATGGCAATTGATATTAACGAATCTTTTTAGCATGACAATTTAATTGATCATCAATCAAATGAAAACTTTGAGGCTTTTTTCACCAATGAAACTCATTCTATATCCTATTTGTGTTTTGTAAACATTATTTTTCATTTCCTGAACATGAATCGGAGAAAACCCACTGACTAACGACTGCCCCACGCAAGCCTCGAACCCGTGATCCAGTGGTGGAGGGCTAGTGGTAGCACGAACCCGCGACCCAGTGGTGGAGGGCTAGTGGTAGCACGAACCCGCGACCCAGTGGTGGATGGCTAGTGGTAGCACAAACCCATGACCCAGTGGTGGAGGGCTAGTGGTAGCACAAACCCGCGACCCAGTGGTGGAGGGCTAGTGGTAGCACGAACCCGCGACCCAGTGGTGGAGGGCCAGGTAGCAGAATGTCAGACGCCTTAACCACTTGGCCACCGCGGCCCAATGCAGAGCATGTGTTGAATATGCGACAATTTTACCAGATTATCTAAACGAAAAAAAAAGGTGAGTAGTCAATACAGGTGTATTGTCTGAACACAAAACGTGTAAACAACACAACAAGCGATCTTCAGAGTGTCGCATTACAGTGCCGATAAGAAATAATTAGAATAAGATTATTTTTTTGTGTAATTAAGTGTTGATATCTTTCCTGTGCAGGAAAATGGCAGATCAAAGAGAACTTGTCCTAAAGAATAGTTCTGTTGACAACCTGAGAATTTCAGAGAAGATCCTCCTCCTTTATCGGTCTGTGTTTCCTCGTAAGACTACACGGGACCTATAAAACGTTGGAGAAAAGATATTTAACAATTCACCACAAATTAACGGGCAGTGAATTAACACTGAATGGGCGGCCTGTAACTGTAGCGTGATCACAGGTATAATAAAATTACCTCATAAATCTAGCGGTTCCACACAGGTGTATTATCTATCGCCCAATAAAGGTAGCGTTCGTCCCGTAATCAAAGGGACACAGAGTCTAATCAGGGAAGGTCATCACCACGGAAACCATTATAGTGCACCTGTGATCCTTGTGCGGATTGGACTCGTAAAACTTTCAGTCTGCAGACGTAGCACATAATGTTCAACTATTATACATATGTACAAATCGTGTAGGTATGCGGGTTAATTATTTCGGTAAATATCTCCAGAGGTACCAGATGCCCTCCAAATGACCTTGACTTTCAACCATATACAAATGCCCTACAGGATATAGACAGGCTGTCTCTGTGCTATCTTCAGATATACCAAACGACCTTCATATGACCTCCAAATGACCTAAACAATGTCCTTCAACCATAAAACCACATAAACCAAGTTCAAGAGGGACACCAAAACTCACCTCTTCACGTCTGCATTTTAGAATCTTTGCAAAGACGTTATGTAAATACCACCCTTTTATTTGTTCAATTATGTGCACATTGCTTGCTTAAATGTATAAAAGTGATTGTAAGCCTTTTTTTTTTTTGGTTTTCACAATTATAACCATTACTATTATCCATATGTTGTAAAGCGCTTTAGAGTAATTTTACAAATTATATAGGGCGCTATATAAATGTTGTATATTATATTATATTGCATATTATTATAAACTTCATATGGCCTTTACATGACCTTCAGTTTGGCTAAAGGGTCACAAAGTTATTAAATAAGCTGACTTTTCCCTCACAGTGACAACCATAAACAGATCCATTATTTGCACATGTTTGTAATTAGGAATTCATAATATTGAAATTACTTAGATGCCCCAGCTATCTTCAAAGAACGAATTGCTAAAAATTTGATGTATGCATATCAATCCCCCCCGCAACAGCCCTGAATGACATTCTCTTTAGAGTTTAAACCTCCCTTCTCAATTTCACTGGCGATATCAGGCCCTTCAGCCAAGCTACCATTCATCTCAATTCAATTTCCAAAGACATATTTTACGAAATAATTGAGTTTGTGCTAGGAAGTTTAAGTGCTGACATTGTGTTTTTAACAAATTATTTCCAATGGTATTATTGTTGGGATTGATAGCAATACAAGGCTTGACACCTCCTACAGTTCTACAGCTCCACGCTGAATCAGCGAGAAATCTCCGTCCCAAATCGCACCTGAATATCTCTAGGTCAAATTTGAAACTGGGTTAGTCCAAGCAAATATAAATACTTCTTTCGTAATACTAGAGAAAATACATGATTTAAAAGATTAGTTTATAAAAATACTTGTATAGCAGTTTTGTAGTACATGTTGAACAATTATGTTTTTCCAATTTTGCCCTCACGATTGATTCAAACCTTTAAACTGAACACAAATTTTCATGATCAGTTTTCTGAAGTTTCAATTTCTTATCATCAAACTTTG